GTCGACGACTTCTCCAGGTACACCACAGTGTTCCCTCTTGCGAAGAAGTCCGAGGTGACTGCTACGCTGATCAGGTGGCTTCTAGCCACTGAGGGCACTCGTGGTCGTCGAGTCAGTTGTCTCCACTCCGACCGTGGGGGCGAGTTTCGCTCCGGCATTCTCGGCGGATTCTGCGGCGAACAGGGCATCACCCAGTCCTGGACGCTGCCAGAGTCCCCACAGCAGAATGGGGTTGCTGAGCGCCGCATAGGCTTGGTCATGGACATCGCCCGCACGTCCATGATCCATGCCCGTGCGCCCCATTTTCTGTGGCCCCACGCGGTTCGCTACGCCGCACACCAGCTGAACCTCCAGCCGCGTGTCTCGCGGCCCGAGGTTTCACCGACCAGTCTTTGGACTGGTTCCCCTGGTGTCGGGTCGGCCTTTCGAGTCTGGGGCTGCCTTGCACTTGTTCGCGACACCTCCGCGGACAAGCTCTCGGCACGCGCCGTCCCCTGTGTCTTCCTTGGTTTCCCAGTGGACTCTGCCGATTGGTCCTTTTACCACCCTCCCCTCCACCAGTTCCTCGACTCCCGTGACGTCCGGTTTGACGAGTCCGTGTCCTACTACACCCGGTACCCCTGTCGAGGTCTCCCGGTACCCCCTCCCCCTCTTTTCCTCGCACCCTCTCCTCCTCCTGCTCCCGCTCCTCCGGTACCCCCGCCCCCCCCTGGTCCTGCCCCGTCTGGTGTGTCCCACGTTACCCCTCTACCCTCGGTCGCGCGTCAGGTAGCGTCTCCCTCCCCGCAGTCCTCCTCACAGTCCCCTCAGCAGCCTTCGGCACTTCCGCGATAGGTTACTGTGGACTCGGTTGGTGTTGGAGCTGGAGGTGCAGCCACTGGCGGTGCTCGGTCTGGGGGTACTCGGTCGCGGGGTGCTGGAGCTGGAGGTGCTGGCGCAGGTGGCGCTAGCTCTGGGGGTGCTGGAGCTGGAGGTGCTGGCGCAGGTGGCGCTAGCTCTGGGGGTGCTGGAGCTGGAGGTGCTGGCACTGGTGGTGCTAGTTCTGGGGGTGCAGGAGCTGGAGGTGCTGGCACTGGCGGTGCTAGTTCTGGGGGTGCTGGAGTTGGAGGTCCGGGCACTGGAGGTGCTGGTTCTGGGGGTGCTGAGTCTGAGGAGTCTGACCCTGGTTCTGCGGAGTCCACTCCGCCTCCCCACCGCCACGACACACGACTCCAGGCTGCCCGCCGGCGTGAGCGTGAGGAGCAGGAGCGGTTGGAGAGGGAGCGGCAGGAGCTGCGGGTGCTGGACCTTCTGGAGCAGCAGCGGCAGCAGCAGCAGCAGCAGCAGCAGCAGCAGCAGCAGCCGCAGCAGCAGCAGCAGCAGCCGCAGCAGCAGCAGCCGCAGCCGCAACCCCCGCCGCAGCAGCAGCAGCAGCCGCAGCCGCCACCGCAGCTTCCTCTGGAGCGGCGGTTGTTCCCACCTGTGAGTGGCCTGCGGGCCCTTGGTTTTTCCTCCTCTCCTCCTATCCACTCCCAGTCTCCTCCTGTGTTTGTTCCTCCGTTGCCTCCTCCTGACGACCGTCCGGCGATCTGGTCTTCTCCTCCTCCCCAGTCTCCTCCTCCTTCGGTCCGTCGCGACTTGGTCACTCGTTGTCCTCCGCGTGCTCGTCACTCGTCCCCTGTTACTGACCTCCACACTGCCCTCCTTTGTACGTCTCGTCGTCGTTCTCCTTCTCCTGTGTCCGTTCTCCCGTCTCCTCCTCCGTCCTCTCTCCCAGCCCTCCCCACTCCTATCACTGACTACTACCGCACTGTTCGTCCTGTTGCCGCACGTGTCCTCGCCACTCTTGTCACCGACTCTCGTTTCCCTCCGTCGTCGGTCTCTGCTCTTACTGCCGCTGTCGCTGAGTTTGCTGCCGCCAGCCGCCTTGACTACGCCACCCGTGTGGTGCCAGCTCCTCCCTACCGTCCTCTGTCCGTCGGGGGTGGGTTTGCCCTTGGCTGTGACGTCCTAGAGGACAGAGAGTCTAAGCTGGAGTACTGGGCAGCCGCTTCTCCCTCTGTGTGTGCCATGCTGCTCTCCCCTGAGGGAGACCCCGACGCCCTTGACATACCGACTCCTCGCACTTACCGCGAGGCAGTGTCAGGGGCGTGGGCCTCTCAGTGGAAAGCGGCTATGGACTCAGAGTTGGCGTCTTGGAGATCCACAGGCACCTACGTCGACGCAGTTCCCCCTCCCAGGGCGAACGTAGTCGATGGCATGTGGCTCTTCAAGGTGAAGCGGCCGCCTGGAGCACCGCCGGTATTCAAGGCGTGCTACGTGGCTAGGGGCTTCAGTCAGCGTGAGGGAGTTGACTTCTTCCAGACCTTCGCCCCGACCCCGAAGATGACTACTCTTCGGGTGTTACTCCACATAGCAGCGCAGCGAGACTACGAGTTGCACTCCCTCGACTTCTCCACTGCGTTCCTCCAGGGCCGACTGCACGAGGAGATCTGGCTGCGCCGTCCTCCTGGCTTCACTGACACCTTCCCACCTGGGACCCAGTGGAGCCTGAGGCGACCAATCTACGGTCTCCGCCAGTCGCCCCGTGAGTGGCACGACACTCTTCGCTCCACGCTTCGTGACCTTGGGTTCAGCCCGTCCTCCGCCGACCCGTCGCTGTTTGTTCGAGCGGGTTCTACTCCTTTCTTTATCCTTGTCTACGTCGACGACTTGGTGTTTGCTACAGCAGACAGGGCAGCCCTGGCTCAGGTGAAGTCCGAACTGCAGAAGAGACACAAGTGCACGGACCTGGGTGAGCTGCAGCGTTACCTTGGCTTGCAGATCACCCGGGACAGAGCCGCTCGCACCATCACACTGACGCAGTCACACATGGTGCAGCAGGTCCTTCGGCGGTTCGACTTCCAGTTCTCCACCACTCAGCCCACTCCTCTTGCTGTTGACCACAGACTCACGGGCCCCTTTCCTGACGAGCCCTTTGAGTCCAGTGGACCCTACGCAGAGCTGGTGGGCTGCCTCATGTACCTGATGACTTGTACTCGACCGGACCTCGCCTTTCCCCTCAGCATCCTTTCTCGCTTTGTTGCGACTGGGAGACACCGCCCTGTCCACTGGACAGCTGCTGTGAGGGTGGCGAAGTACCTGGCGACTACATCAGGCATGGGGCTTGTGCTTGGAGGGACTCGGCCAGTGGCGTTGACTGGTCACTGTGACTCTTCCTACGCTGACGACGTGGAGACTCAGCGCTCGACTCAGGGTTACTGCTTCAGTCTGGGAGCTGGTGCTGTGTCGTGGAGGTCTACACGGTCGTCGTCTGTGGCTACTTCCAGTGCAGAGGCAGAGATCTACGCGGGTGCCATGGCGGCACAGGAGCTTCGCTGGTTGACCTTCTTGCTCGCCGACCTTGGTGAGCGGCCTCGCTCTGCACCGACCTTGTACGCTGACAACAAGGCCATGATCCTCCTGTGTCGAGAGCCTCGACTGGAGAGCAGAGTGAAGCATATTGACGTGAGGTACTTCCTCCTGCGAGAGCTGCAACGACGCGGCCAGGCACGCCTGGACTTTGTGGCCTCAGAGGCCAACACTGCAGACGTCTTCACCAAGGCCTTGGCGCTTGGTGACCACCACAGGTTCTGTGTGCAGTTGGGGCTAGTTGAGGTAGGCCCTCGGTTGCTGTAGTCATGTTGCTTGCTCTGCTTGTTGTGCCTTGTATTTATATCCTAGTGAACTCTTGAACTGGCCTTGTGGCCGCTTGCTTGCGCTCGGAATTTGTGTGGTGTCCTTGAGATCCACCCTGAGCTTGTCTTGGTTCTTGCTTTGACTGGTCTTGTGACCGTTTGTTCACCTTGCTTGCTTTGATGCCCCTCACTTAGCCTATGGGGGTGTGTCAAATGTTGAACATTGATATGATAGGCTGTAGTGAGTTGCACTCTAGGGGGTACAGTTTCTAGGGTTGCTTATTTGTACCCCATTCGTTTCTATTCCAACCATTCCGTTGCTAACCAATCTTGAGAATGTTATCCGCTAGCCAAGTCAGTAATCAGAGAAGTAACTACGCATTATAATTCGACGCAATACATTTCTTCCTCACCTCCTCCACCAACATCTTGCGCTTAGTCTCCACCTCATCCCTCCAACCATGCGTTCTTGCTAACACAACCTGGCTATACATGCACTGTAGCTCCCACTGGTACCTATCATACAAAACCTTAGCGCCCTGCACATGTTTTCGTATCATGGGCCAATCATCCCAATCCATAGCATACCTCCATATCTGGTCCTGCGGCCCTGCAACATCCTCGCAATTTCTCAATTCACCTTTAGGAAAAGCTTGGCACATGCCTTCACGCGCATAGAACCCCACAACGTCAACATATGCCTTGGCCAACCGGTGCTCTGGGCCTGAATGGCCTGTGATGTTTCGAAACTTCATGGTGTAAGGGATATGCACACCCACTCGTGGTATCGGTGTAACTGGCGTCCACTCAAGCACCCAGTGGACCTGATGTTAAAGAATAAAGAACAGAAAGAGATTTGGAAGGAGGTGTTTGAAGGGCCATATGGGAGAGGGCAAGGAGTGGGAGTAAATGACAAAAAGAAGGGGTAATATAGGTGGGTAAAAATGCATGTGTGTGGCTTGGCATGCATGTGTGAGGCTTGGCATAATGTGTCTAGTGTAGCATGAGCGTATGTGGCTTGGAATGCATGTCTGTGGCTTGAATTGAAATCCACGTGTTGGTGTCCAATCATGCACGGATCAGAAAGTCAGTGCTTACTGTGTCGTTGGCAAAAAACCACATGTAATTGCCGAGCGTTGTGTGTGCTATCTGTGTCCTGCAATAAAGAGGACATGTGGAGGGGTTGCACAAAAGAAGGGAATAATAATGATAATAATAAAAACACACAGAACGATAAATGGGAGGGGGAGTACGGGGGGGGGAGGGTGAGAAACACCGGAAAAGCAATTGCAACAGGAAATGAACAAAAGAAATCTATCTCCCGGTCCACCTTGTTGAAAGCTCTCACTTGGCAAAGGACGGCCCGTGATCTGCAAAGTACTTGACAGCCGCATTGAAGTCCTTCTTGTGCCGCTTGGCCGCCCTCCTTCTGAACCCCGGCAGCACGGATCTTGGGAAGACGAAGGGCAGCTGCACCATGTAGTTGGCGAAGTAGCGGCCGACAAAGTAGTAGGAGGAGGGTTTCCAGTTGTCTGACTGCGTGTTCTTGCTGCCGATCACGTATGGCTTGCCATTGGTCATGTTGAACAGCAAACCTGGGGTCACCTGTGGGGGGGGGGTGGTTGAGAGGTGATGGGTGGGGTGTGATGAGGGAAACAGCGACTCTTAGGCGCGTCCAGCTGTCTCTCCTGTCTGTTCTTGCTGCTCATAGTGTACGGCGTGCTGCCTGCCAGGTTGAACAGCAGGCTTGGGGTGAACTGGAAGGAGCAAGACATTAGCCACATTGAACCACACAATGAGCCAGACGTTGGCCCAGATTTTCAGTCGGTTCTTGAGCCAACTCTCGACCCAGAAATTGACCCAGGCATCAACTATAATGATGCTCCACGGTGGTCAGTCCATAAGGGCAATAATTATTTCCAACAAAACCATGGGGGCCTTACTTTGAGGTTGAAGATGACGTCATCATCTATGATGGCAATGTACGGTGCAGTGGTGTAGTTGTCGGCCCACAGGTAGCTCCACTGCTGAAGTATTTTCCCGGGCAAATCCAGAGAGTTCTTCTCATAATAAATCTGACTGGGGAAAACGTGAACGAGGAACAAAAGAAAATTGTGAAAATGCAAAAAAAATTGTGGTGATAACAGACTAATTGCTCTGATGAACCCACGTTGACTTGCGTTGACTCACCTTGACCCAGGGCGGCACGATGTCTTCCACGTGGCGGTCGTTTTCATCCAGCACCAGGATGACGTCACCAATGCCAGCTGGCCACATCTGCTCGATGCTGGCAAAGAGGAACGCCGTGAGGAAGAAGTTGTCCGACACGTAGCTACGGATCAGGAGGTCCACCCGAGATGGCCACAGCGGGTGGTACGCTTCGTCATATAGCGACAGCAGCTCTTTGACACAGTACCCTGACTTCGTTCGCCTGTGACATCTCCGATTGTAGCACCTCCTACTGCTCCTGTTGCTGCTGCCATTGCTGTCGCTGTAATTGCTGCTGCTGTCATTATCACTGAAGCCACCAATTCCCCCACACGGGTCCTGCAGCCGCTGCAACCCATCCGCCGTATAGTAACTCTCGTTACTCTCACCTCGACTCTCGCTATTGTCACCTGGATCGCGATCGTCACTCCCCTCTGAAACTCCATCTGCTACCTTCGTTACGAGGTTCAAACCTGTAGCGTTCAGTATCGAGTTTCCGGCATCTGTTGTGTCAGCTGCGAGCTCATTCCAAAAGTCAGTTTCGTCAGATTCGCCAGGCTTGGCTGGTTGGCTCTCTGCTAAAGTTTCCGTTGGCAATGCAGAACCGCCGTCTGCGAGTGCTGAGATTTGCGACGAATTCGCCGTAACGATAGGGGTGTCAGGTGACGTGAAATCCGCCGGGTCAGAGACCAGGATGCGACGTCGGGACGAGCTGACGGAAAACGTCAGTGCGTACAGTCTGCTCCGAATAAGCTTCTCGAAGCCTGACAGAGAATTATCATGATTATAATCGATCGGTGGTGGTTGTCGCAACGACGAGATTCGACCGAGCTGGAAAGCAAGCGAAAGGAGAATGATAAGAACCATGGCGGAGCCGACAACCAGACGCGCTGCTTGCGGCCGCGAAATGATAATCGCAGTCGGAGAAGAAGCATCCTCTAGAGCCTCATCATGACGATGGTCGTCAAATAAACGCTTCATCTTTTCCAATGCGAGGAGCCGTCTGAATCACCTCTCAAGTCCAAAGTTGTCATCCAGAAGAGGCGAGCTGCTCTGACGCGGGAACGGGAAACGATCTTTCTGAATTCGCGACTGCGATGAGCTGCGAATAAGAGACTGATCGTCTGTTTGTAAAAATGCAAGACTTAAGAACAACAGCGGAAACCGTACACGTAATGCCATCTAAGCGTCGCCAGACCCCAGGGAAGTAGCTGAAGGTCCTTGTTCAGAGCGCGTGACGAATGCCGCGCCATTTGACGACGCGTGCGTTGCATTAAGGAGAACTAAGGACCAGCAGTCCGTGAAAGAAAAGGAGCGAGGGCGAGCATCGTGCCGCTCGTGAAGCTACGAGTCGGGCCAGTGACTACAGAAGGAACTAATCGCTGGCTTCATGCATCCATGGCTCGTTGAACTGGAAGAACTCCCAAGAAAGCTCGTCGCTAGGAGCTGAAAAAAGAATCGATGATGCTTTTCGTTCAGGGGCTCGTTTGATGAAATTTGATTCGGTTAGCCACGTTTGGAAGCGGTTCGTGGACCTTTGTGACCAGAATGAACCTTTCAAAGTCAATTGTGAACGGAAAGTGACCCACCAAATTTCCAGGGGATGACCAGCCCGCAGTGTTCTTGTGCAACAGTGAGAGCAGGTTGTAAAAAAAGATAATAGAAACGGTATAATGCTCCATGTAGTATGGCTCAGCCTTGAGAACAAGAAACGGGCTGGTTGGACCTTCTGCATAATTTGTGTATTGTGAACAGCTGACACGTTATTGACAATTGTGGTGATCCACCATTACACGGCCCTTGCGCCTCAATACTTGTTGGAGTGTGGAACGATGCAGTTCTTCGTCAATTCCTTCACCAGCTCCCGCCGCTTCCCCTCCACATCCCCCTTCCACATTTGAGTCGACTCAATAGTCAACTCAATACTTGTTGGAGTGTGGAACGATGCAGTTTTTCGTCAATTCCTTCACCAGCTCCTGCCGCTTCCCATCCACATCCCCCTTCCATTCCCCCGTCTTCGCTCCCACCACGCGCTCATACATACACTTCAACTCCCACTTATAATCATCGTGCATCACCGTTCCGTTCACCGTCCCGCTCTGGAAAATCGACCACTCGCTCCCACTCAGCGCATACCTCCAAATCTGGCCCTGCTCCCTCGACGCGTCCTCGCAATGAGCCAATTCCCCTTCCGGAAACGCGTTACACAGCCCTTCATGAGCGTACGTGCCAGTCAAGTCGACATAAGTCTTCACGAGTCGTTGGGGTGGGCCGGCGGCAGAGGCAGAGGCGTTGCGGAACTCGTGTGTGTGAGGGATGTGCACTCCGACCCGCGGGATGGGTGTGCGAGACTCCCATTCAAACGCCCAGTGCGCCTGGGATGGGGTTGGCAGAATGAGGTAGAAGGAAGGGGAGGAGTTACATAGGCACGCCGACACGTGGAATGGGCGTTCGAGACTCCCATTCAAACGCCCAGTGTGCCTGCCATGGGGGTTAATGGGAGCAAAAGGAGGCAGAAGGAAGGTGTGGGTTTCGTAGGAGGCACCGGAGGCATTGCGGAACTCGTGTGTGTGGGGGATGTGGACTCCAACGCGAGGGATGGGCGTTCGGGACTCCCACTCGAAGGCCCAATGCGCCTGCGAGGGGGTTGGTAGGAGGTGGAAGCAGGCAGAGGGAACGTGGGGAGACAGGTGGGTGTTGGGAAATCAATGGCACGAGTTTGTGTGGGGGATGTGCACTCCCAACTCGTGGGATGGGCGTTCGGGACTCCCACTCGAAGGCCCAATGCGCCTGTGATCGGGTTGGCAGGAATCAGAGACAAGCGCTGAATTATATTACGTCTTGAGGCAGAGGCGTTGCGCAGAACTCTTGGTTGTGGGGGATGTGCACACCGACTCGCTGGATGGGCGTTCGTGACTCCCACTCGAAGGCCCAATGCGCCTGTGATTGGGTCAGTAGGAATCAATGGCATGAGTACCACGAGTCAACTGATGTGATATTGACGGCAACAATGAGGGAGACTTATGCCTAGACCCTACCAGCACCTAGGCAAGAACCACATTAACTTGATTCAGAAGTGCCCAAAACAGAGCAACCATGCCTTACCGAGTCGTTGGCAAAGAACCACATGTAGTTGCCAAGCGTGGTGTGCGCAACGTGAGACCGGTCCGCAATGGGTCCGCGGATCGACCAGAACTTGAACGCAGCATCGAAGCTCCCACCAAACTTGCGCCCGTGCAGCTGCCCCACGTGGTCTCGGAACTTGGGCAGCACGGCCCGCGGGAAGACGAAGGGCAGCTGCACCATGAAGTTGGCGTGGTAGCGGCCCGGGCCTACGAAGTAGCGGGATGAGGTGCGCCAGTTCTTGCCCTGCGTGCTCTTGCTGCCGATCATGAACGGCTTGCCGTCCGTTAAGTTAAAGAGCAGTCCAGGAGTCACCTGGGGGAAGGGGAGGATGGGGATGGGTGGAGGCGAGGAAGGGGAGGGTGGCAGTTTGGGAGAGAAGATGAAAGACTCATGGGTGGATGCCGAGGAAACAATGGTTGGGGAAGAGACGTCGGACCCGCGTGTAGTGGTAATGGTAATGGTAATGGTAATGGTAATGGTAGTGGTAATGGTGATGGTAATGGTAATGGTAATGGTAATGGTAAAGGTAATGGTAGTGGTAATGGTGATGGTAGTGGTAATGGTGATGGTGATGGTAATGGTAGTGGTAATGGTGATGGTGATGGTAGTGGTAATGGTGATGGTGATGGTGATGGTAATGGTAATGGTAATGGTAATGGTAATGGTAGTGGTAATGGTGATGGTAATGGTAGTGGTAATGGTGATGGTAATGGTAATGGTAATGGTAGTGGTAATGGTGATGGTAATGGTAGTGGTAATAGTAATTGTAATGCTAGTGGTAATGGCGATGATAATGGTAATGGTAATGGTAATGGTAATGGTGGTGCACACGCACGCACACACGAATGTACCAAACTTTCACATACCTTGAGGTTGAAGATGACGTCATCGTCTATAATGGCGATGTACGGTGCGGTGGTGTAGTTGTCGGCCCACAGGTAGCTCCACTGCTGCACCAGCTTGGGTGTCAGACCTAGGTAGTTCTTCTCATAGTAAATCTGATCACCGCTCGTGGGGTAGGCAGGGGAGGGAATGGGAGGGAAAGTAGCATATGAAAGGTTACAGCATCTGAAAGGTAGCTCCACTGCTGCACCAGCTTGGGTGTCAGACCCAGGTAGTTGTTCTTGTAGAAGACTGGTGAGCACGCGACGGGAAGGAAGGGGAGGTTGGAGGGCGTTGTCATGGGGCGGCGTTGACCCACCTTGACTAACCTTGACCCACCTTCATCCACATTCTCTGAATTGACTCGCCTGGGCCCACGTTGACTCACGTTGACCCACCTTGACCTACATTGACCCACTCTGACAGAATTGACTGAATTGACCTGACCCACGTTAACTCACCTTGACCCAGGGCGGCACGATGTCTTCCACGTGGCGGTCGCTCTCATCCAGCACCAAGATGACGTCACCAATGCCAGCTGGCCACATCTGCTCGATGCTGGCAAAGAGGAACGCCGTGAGGAAGAAGTTGTCCGACACGTAGCTGCGCACCACCAGGTCCACCCGTGCGGGCCACAGGGGACTGGTTCAGGGGAACACAGGGGAGTGGGGGAGATGGGCGGGATGGACGGGAGGGATGGGGGGGAAGGGGGAGCCGTGAGGAAGAAGTTGTCCGACACGTAGCTGCGCACCACCAGATCGACCCTAGCGGGCCATAATGGGCTGGGGATGGGGGAGAAGAAGGGGTGGGTGGGGACGATGGGGGAGCAGGTGAGGAACGCCGTGAGTAAGAAGTTGTCCGACACGTAGCTGCGAATCACCAGGTCCACTCGTGCCGGCCACAGAGGGCTGAGGGCCGGGGGCGGGTTGGGGGAGATGGGGTAATGGGGGAGCGGGGAAGGGAGAGCCGTGAGAGAAGTTGTCCGACACGTAGCTGCGCACCACCAGGTCCACCCGTGCGGGCCACAGGGGGCTGAGGAGGGGGAAGGGGAGGGGTGTGCGGGGAAGGTGTAGAAACCACCTGAACGTTTGGTTGGATTAGAATGGGAAGGCTTTGTCATAGAGTGACAGACGCGTTCACACAGTACCCAGACCTTGTTCGCCTTCAAACGCTGCGCTAATTTGTAGGTGTAGAAACTGCACTACTTGATGGTTTGTTGGTCTCGTCATATAGCGACAGCAGCTCCTTGACACAATACCCCGACCTCGTGCGCGTGTGGCACCGGTTGTAGCACCTCATCTCACCCGTACGCTTTGTCATGCTATCTCACTCACCTGTACGCTTCATCATAGAGTGAGAGCAGCTCCTTCACACAGTACCCAGACCGCGTTCGCCTGTGGCACCGATTGTAGCACCTCCGATTGCCACTGCTGCCGGAATTCCCGCTGGCACCACCGATTCCCCCACACGGGTCCTGCAGCCGCTGCAACCCCTCCGCCGTGTAATACGTGGTTGGGTCAACCGTCGTTGCAGGGATAGCTGCTCCGTCAGCTGACGTGGCGGTTGGTGACGTGGAGCTTGCGGCGTCTGACGCATCAGCAGCAGCAGTAGTAGCCGCAACCGTAGCAGCAGGCGTAGCAGGCTCTCCAGCCGAGTCAGCAGCAGCAGCAGCAGAGCCACCTGCTGCCTCAGCACCACTAGCACCCCCTCCCCCTTCCCCACCAGCACCATTCGCAGCAGCGGCAGCCGCAGCAGCCGCTGCTTCTGCCGCTTTTGCCGCGTCGTCGTCAGCAGCAGCCGCCTGATCCGCCGGGACCTCAACCACCTCCTTGATATCTCCGCCGCTCTTATTCTCCTCCTTCACCTCTACCTTTGCCGCTGCTTGCGGCTTTTTCTTGCGAGGAGCAGGCTTTCTGGCGGGAGCACGTCTTTTGGCGGGAGCACGCTTTTCCGCGGGAGCAGGCTTTTCCGCGGGAGCTGGAATTTCGGCGGGAGCAGGTTTCTCGGCGGGAGCAGGCTTTTTTGCGGGTTTGGCCGGTCTGGGACGGCCTCGGGACCTCAGCACGCGACGCCGAGGGGTTTCAGGGGAGATTAATGTTGAGACATCGCTTAACGAGACTGCGGGGAGATTGTTCAGGCGTGATGAATCAACGGCTGCGATTTCTCCGATGGACATTCGGCCGAGGTGGAAGGCAGCGGCGAGCAGCAGCACGAGAACCACTGTCGACATGGCGACAAGACGCGCGGCTTGACGGTACGACAGCACGACGATCGGAGAGCCGTTCGAATTATTCGAGCCATTCGAGCGGTTCGAGCCACGCGAGACATTCGAGCCATTGGAGTCGGCATTTTGTTGGTTCGACGAGGGGTGAGGCTGAGACGACATAGTCGCTTTAGTGTCGTCAGAAGATAAGCTACGCTGCGAAGTCATGGCTTCCATGCGCGATAAGAACCACGGAGACGACAATGCGAGGTACGCCTTGGATCAATCAATAACTCTTAAATAAGCAAGCGTGAGGAGTAACGCTTTCGCAACTAATAATACTTAGTCAATCTGAAGCTCGCTGGTAGCCGTTGTGCAGCAATCGAGAAAGCACGCCAACGAAGCGTTCAAGAAGGATAAATTAGGCGGATCGGACAGCGGGATCCTGGCCCTGATTTCGCCTGACGACAATGACGGACGGCATGGCGAGGTGGTTGAACAAGTAGGAGCAGACACAAGCAAGAGTTGTTATCCCTACGATCATGAGCGTTGATGTGTTTGAGTCCTGATTCCAGAAACAGGAGGTCGAGGGCGTGTTTCAAGTTTGACACCGCCCCATCAAATTTGGTTTGGTACGGACCCATTGGGAAGGTGGGAGCAAGTGGTGCAAACGGCTCTAGCGAGGCAAAAAAATGTCACTCACTCGGTGAGGAAAAACATTGGTCACTTTCCTGAGGCAGACGCAATAACATCAACAGAATTTCTTGACCTCAGGCATTGTAAAGTGGATAATGTGAGGAATTTTCCGGATTCCTTACTGGGTCACACTGTACGCATACAACCCCGACTTTCGGAACACCAGGCTCGGTCCGCCGACCTCACCTTCCGAGCCACCACCGCGTCGCCTTCGGGTTTCCCAACCCCGAACCTGCACCCAACCATCTCGCGACCCCGCGACCTCGGCCTAGCTAGCCTTGCTATATTATGCCTAGGCCTCGTTGTTCATTCAAACGTTGTAATCACTTCCGCATTATTGAGCTCTGCGCACTCTTTCCTTTCACAACTCATAACAGATAAGCTGTGTCACAAGGACAGTATCTAGGTGGGTGCCTATGAAAAAATGCACCTACCAGTCGTTCATATGTGAATTATTTAGCAACTCCACAATTTCATTTTCAGTGAAGCATCAATAGCGGAAATACATACAAAACCTCACAACACAAACTGACACTGGAGGATCTAACACATCAACTTCTGATGATAACACGTGTTGCTTCTTGCACAAACGCTGCACACAAGCCTCTGCCAAAAATGAATCTACAGGACCAGGAGGACACGAATGCCTCCCCCACTCTATTTCAAAATTTCCAGATTGTCAAGCCCTTGGGTGACCTTCATACTCGATATGACATCCCCCACTTTAAGATCAGCAAGGAAGTCGGCGTTCTCCACAATGTAACCGAAGACAGCGTAACGGCCATCGAGAATGTTGGCGCTGCTGGGGGTCAGCTCGCTCTCCTTCAGCAGCCAAAAGATCTGGCTGGAGGCACTGTCGTTGTCAAACTCCTGTTGCTCAGTCAGAAAAGAAGCAGAGGATGGTCATTAGCATCCAACCAAAGCAGGCTTTCTTGGGAAGAGAATGAGATTGCAACATGAGTCAAAGGATTTTTTTTCGCAAACATTGAGAACTGACATTGACATGTTGGCACCGGCACAGGAGGAAAACGTGAGAGTGCACAAGACTCACGAATCGGACATACCTCTCGGGCCATGGCCATGGTGCCGAAGGCGTTGAATGGAATCTTGGGGAGAGCACGGTACCTGCCCAGGTCCTGCAGCACATCAGGCAGGCAGACGGGTTGAGATGGGTTAGAATGACAGGGACTGTAATACGCTACGCATGACTCATGGACGGACAGTGCTACTACGTACGGATAGGCTGAAACAAGAGCTAGCAAAATGCATCGGCCGCAAGTCTTGGGGTGTGACACAACTGTATTGACTCAACATGTCGTACAACTTGGTCAGAAATGAGAGTCAGAAGCGAGTGGTTTCATGGCCCCATACTGCTTGACGTGTTGCAGCTTCCCACATCTTGTTCCAAAGCAAGTCTCACTCACCTCCAAGGTGTCATGGTACACGGGCTCCTTGTCCCCCTCAACAAACACCTCCAGAGGAATCCTACGCTCCTGTTTTGAGACGTCTCAAGTCTCACTCACCTCCAAGGTGTCATGGTACACGGGCTCCTTGTCACCCTCTACGAACACCTCCAGAGGAATCCTGCGCTCCTTGCCAGTGGCGGGATCCACAAAGCCCTCTGCAGGCCCCTCGGGGTCTCCAGTCTGCACCACAAAGCCATCAGCTGGAATGGGAGGCGCACACAAGGGACCAGGAAGCGAAGGACAGTGGAAGGTTGGGGTACTCATGATGCAATGCCGCAAGCTTGAAATCCCACGGCACGTTGGAGAGAGACTGGAAGGCGGGACGACGGGGCTGTGGAGAAGCGGATTCGCACCTCTTTGAATCTCCATGCCGTCATAGAAGCCCCTCTTCACCAGGTCCACGAAGTTACCGCTGGTAACCGGCGCGTTGTAACCGTCGACAACAACCTCAAAGACCACCTCGGGGAGGTTGGGGTTGTTGAGCGGGCGCACCGTCATCTCCACATTCGCGCGCCCCTTGAGCACGGGGTACCCCTTGAACTCCGCCGGGATCTGGTATGGGAATGCCCCCACCATCGCCTCTTCAATGCTGCACGTGGAGGGACAAACGGATACACAGCGGGATGACGTTAATTTCTAGTTTCTCAAGAGGCCCTTGAGCACAGCGGGTGCGATTTTGACTTCGCCAGGATGTCACATTGGAATGACCCCTTGAATGCTGTAAGTGGTGCATGGAGGGTGCGAGGGGCAACGCAGTGCGAACACAACCGTTTCTGTCGCGTTCCACAATTTCGAATTCCGGAGGACCCTCCCCTGTCGCCTTCCCTACAAGTTGCAACTCAACCCGAACTCTTTTCTCCAATACTCCCACCCACCCGCCACTGACTCGCCGACTATGACCAGCAATCTTTTCAAAGCTTGAACTAAATGTCCTCCTTCCTCGTTGTCTCGTTCAAAACTGATTCGCACGACCGAATACGCGCCATTCCCTGGACGTCACCCCTGTGAAAACTACTCTCTCCCTCCTCCCGCACTCACTCGCCGACGATAGCGAGCAGCTCCTTCTGCTTGGGCTGGATGCTGTCGCGGTTGCGGCGCTCCACGATCTTCTGGAACTCCTGCAGCCCGTCCTGCAGCTTCTCTATCAGCTCGCGCCCCTCTGCCTTGTTCTTCTCCGCTACGTCCGCCAGAATCTTGTCCTTGCTCTGGTTCAGCACGCGGTTCGCCTGACGGATGTTCTGTGCACGGGAGAACAGACGAAGAAAGAAGGAACAGGCGAGGCGAAGAGGGGTGTATGGGGAAGGAGGGGGGAGGGGGGGGGGAGGTCCGGTAAGGGGAGGGGTAAAGAGAGGGGAGGGAGTAAAATAGAGGCCAAAGAAAAGGGGGGGAATGGAATGAGGATGATTTCCTGAATACGGAGTGAAACGGGGAGAGGACACGGAACGCAGACATAAATTGCGCCACTTAGCACGCCTCCCGCTAGATTTTTGAAAAGCTGGAAGCATTCGAGTGACAGGACGCATCCCTTCGCGTAAGAACGAAAGAGGGAACTTGACTGAGCTTACAGACTTGATATTTTAGAAGTCCCTGGTGCTTACCCTCTCGACTGGGTCGAATGCCTTCGAGCCAGGCAGCCTGAGATCCTCGGTGATGGCTTCCAGCGGCTGCTGCACCTCCTTAATCGCCTGGTTGTTGATAGGCAGCGCGTACCGGAGCAGCGCGCGCGCGTCCTTGATTGGCTGACCCTTGATAAGCACGCCGACGTCAGGGATGGCCGGGTTGATGGCGGGAGAGCCGGTAGTGAGAGCAACGGCATCCATCGGACCAGCGGTGAGGGAGACAGTCGTCGCTACTGCCGCCAGGCCGGTGGCCAGCTTCGAGAAAAGGTTGCTGGAAGGTGTTGGCTGGACAGGGAGAAACAACGTGAAGCATAATTTGATAACTGTGAAACATCCCTGAAACGAGGAGGTGAAAGGTGGATTTGTGACGACGGATGCAGAAGAGGCGGAAAGGAGGAAGTCATGATTTCGAAAAGTCAGTGAATAAAGACCGTTCGCGGATATTCCGACATATCACGGGCATCCCGAGATTCCAACACATCATGAACATCCCAGTGCAAGTGTAAATTTCTCAACAAATACGCATCGTGACGGCATCGTTACATTAGAGCTACCTCATTGTCTTTCGAAGACGCTGACGCGGACACGGAGAGCCGCGTCTGGTTCAGCTTCTTGGAAACACCGGCTTGCTTCTTCACTCCCTTGCCTACAGCAGCTCCGACAAGAGCACTAGCTCCACAAAGGGTCGCAGCTTGAGTCGCCATGGCTCACAAATGTTTTAATGACAATAGCAAACACAGGACGCCTAGAAGCACCAGCAAGTCCTGAAGCAAGAACTTGCTTATCGAGTTTTTTCCTGCTTGGTCTGCCGAGATGAGAAATTGGTTCACATCACCAAGCATGAATGCCTCTTTTCTGGTCAATTCTCATGGCCTGGCCAGGTCACGTCATCCAACAGTGTTCAGGCAGATTTTCCTGATGCCCCGTTTCCCCCGTGCCATCCTAGAATCAAGGAAACCAAAATCGAGGGGCTTGCTGACATGGACAGAGATGCACCTCCGCCAACTGATCCCTCGTGATGCTGATGTCAGCTGGAGGGAGAATGCCTCACTGCCGCGTGGAATGTCCTTGCTGGCAGAACCAAAGAATGACATCAAGGATTCGATGGGCTACAGAAAGACGCCACGTAAACGACTGAAATCCACACGGATGAGAGAACTTTCGAATGAAATAGCGCATCTCGCTGAAAAGAGATGTGTTATGTCAATCAAGTGTGTATATTGTTTCTGTAGTCTTAGAGTACACACATCATGTGTACAAACTTAAAAAGTAGACCGTCAGTTACGACGTGGATGCAATGTGATGTATAGTGTATTACATCCTTAAAAAACCTAACCATCCTCCTAGGACTATTATTGAAAAAATATCACTCTATATAAACAAAGAAAAATAATTATGACAGATAAATACATATCTTGTATCAAGTATCATTGAAGCTAATATAATACTAGAAAATATTCCAGGGATCTTTCATAAAAAAAATGGCTGGATCTAAAAAGACTAGGGTTGGCCAATGGCCATGGTTGCGTTTAAGCTTTCATTCCTTAGAGGAGGTAATAGTGAATGTACGGACCATGTGGTTTGATAGAGGAGTACACAATAATGGAACAATATTGTTTTAGGTTGACTGGTTGTCGGTTTTCCGTTTCTGTCGCGACAGAGCGTCAGTTTGCAGGAAACCAATCACCTTCCACGGCCACGCAGGCTCTGAACTGAACAACGGTTCCGTGGCGGTGTGTACAGTTTTTGTCGCGCACGAACCCTCCCTCACTCGTTACAGCACCAGATCCTGCCCCCCGAAATCAAGATTCCCACAGACGCTCCGTACAATCACAGGCAAACCAGACCCAGGTTCTGTCAGAGGGCGGGGAGAAATTCGAGGAAGCCAGGTGATGGCTTTGGGGTTTGTGTTCCGACCGAAACGAAACTTTTCAAGATTGACGACAACCTCTAGGGGCGTACACTGCAAAGTACAATATGTACAGTGCAGGTAACACGAGTGTATTGTTGTACTTTGCCCACAGCCTCCTCACGTGACGAGGAGCCATGGCGGCGTTGTTGAGTTGATTGAGACAGAACCGCAGTCCCGCAGAGGCCTCGCTCAACCTCCAAATCCGTACCATCACCAACCAACTCGAGTAGGTCGTCCACTTCGTCTGATGACAAGCAGCCTAGTCCCAGCTTTTGTTGTTCCGTGACATTCCGAGCACCACAGCTAATCCCATGACGTTCGCATCAGTGACTCGAGTACACCCAGCCTTTGTAGATATTAGACTAATCCTGGTTTTAATTTAATCCAAACTTTCCATGTGCGAGGTTGTCGTGAGTAGTTCTCGCGGTTCCGGTATATCATTTTTAATGTGTAAGGTTGCTGCGCGTGCAGCGGAAAGAATACCAGACAAATCATCGAGGCGACTCTGATTACAGCAAGAAGATGAAGTGGAAGAAGCTGATGGGAGGGAAGGGGAAGGTTCAGGAAGGTGGAGCGGAGAGCGGTAGAGGTCCTCCGTACGTAGATGTTGATGTTACAGGGAGATACGAAAAGCCGATCGATAGCGACGCGCTCGACGGCGACTCGTTCGGGCCGCCGCTGACGCCGCAGACGGCGTCGATAGAGGACGAGTTCCGCCGAGGCATGCAGGTCAGTCGAGTCCTTGCGACGTTCGAGTCCTTGCGACCCTTTCCCATCGTTGCGACCTTCGAGTCCTTGCGACGTTCGAGTCGAGTCAAAGATCAATCGTCCGCGTCAGGGTGCATTTTATGTCGACTCGTAAAATATTTCTGCACCTATATATTCTTTGGTATCGTTGTGGTCGCATCCCGACGAGTTTCCTTAATGGCAAAAGCTTCTAGGTTTCCCCACGTCTCACCCAGCGCCGTCTTCACAATTGAGTCGACTCAAAAGTCACCTTGACTTCTTCACGACTTTCCAAGCTCCATCGTCTCGCGTCCAAAATCACCCTGAGGCACACCGTCTCGCCTTTACTCACCTTGACTCTCGGGAACTCACTTTGAGTCGCCTTGAAAGTCAACCTGCTTTCGGCTGTCGCCCGTCCGTCCCTGTCGCAGGAGGTTCGCGAGATGCGCGACAAGTACGAGGGGCTGCTGTTTCTCGTCGCCAACGCGCAGCAGCGCGCCGCAGGTGAATGGATGGGTGGAAAGGTGTGAGGATGGGTGGATGGGTGTGTGGATGGATTACTGGGGTCTTGGCCTGGGGTTCGCCGTGTTGCGTCGCCAACGCGCGGCAGCGCGCCTTAGCTGAATGGATGGGTGGGTGGGTGAGTGATGGGTGTGCGGATGGTTGGGTGGATGGATGGGTAAAGGGGTGGTTGAATGGGTGTGTAGATGGGTGAAGGGGTGTGTTGATGGGTGGGCGTGCGTATGACTGGGCACATGCATCTCGCTATTGTCCTCATTCCCCCTCTGCTGATTCTCCACCTGCCTCTCCGTCCCCCACTCGTCTCCCCTCCAGAGTTCTCCGACGCGTTTCGGGAGCTGTCCTCGTTTGTGGCGGGCGCGTTTGGCGCTATAGAGGACGGGAACGTGGGCGAGGTGTTTCAGCATGTAGCTGTGGTAGAGGACCGCATTGGGCAGCTCTTCCATTACTACGTACGTGCGCACACACACACATGCATGCATGCGCCTCCTATGCGCACATGCGACTTTCACACCCGTCTCAAGTCAAGCATCGCACGGGGTGTGTTTCAGAACGTGGATGTGGTGGAGGGCCGCATTGGGCAGCTCTTCCATTACTATGTACGCGAGCACACACATGCATGCATGCATGCATGCATGCACATTTCATACGCACATATGCGTCTCCTTCTCTAGCCTCAAGCATCGCACGGGGTGTGTTTCAGCATGTGGCTGTGGTGGAGGACCGCGTTGGACAGCTCTTCCATTACTATGTACGTGTGCAGTGGGCTCTGCACACAACGCATGCATGCATGCGGATTTCATACGCGCCTCTAGCAGTCCCAGTTGCCCGAAATAGCTCCTTCACTGCTACGTGCGTCTCCTCTCCTCTCCCCCTCTCCCCCTCTCGGCTCGTTCACTATTACGTGCTGTCTGTACTTGGTTGGTTGGTTGCCGTGGAGTCACTTATAGTAGCAGCCTCAGGCCTTCCAGTGTGGAGTGCTGCTGAGACGGTGTTTTTATCTGCTGAGCGCTGCTGCCTCAAAGTTCCTTTGAGCGTACGCAAACTTATTATCGTTCCTGCATGTTCTTGCATGGCCGTGTGTGTGTGGGTGGTGGAGGGGGGGGGGGGGGGAGGGATTGGTGGATGTGCATGCATTTGCATGTGGATGTGTGGTGCGTGTGAACATGTATGTGCATGTGTATGTGTGCATGTGGTCTGCATCTGCACCCACCAGGCCATGCATCTAGCACAGGCCATAGCAGAGCCAACGGAGTCCCTGCTTGTGGAAATCAACCAAGTGGAGGTGCGTGCCTGCCTACATGATCTTTCTCTTTGGATTGCAAAGTAAGAATGTAGAGTTGGAGATCTACCATGTGCGCCCACCAGGCCATGCATCTAGCACAGGCCATAGCAGAGCCAACGGAGTCCCTGCTCGTGGAAATCAACCATTGGAGGTGCGTGGATAGATGGGTTTTCTCTTTGGGTTGGAAAGTAAGAATGTTGAGTTGGAAATCTACCATCTGCGCCCACCAGGCCATAGCAGAGCCTACGGAGTCCCTGCTCGTGGAAATTCACCAAGTGGAGGTGCGTGAATGGTCTTTGATTCAACCCTTTCAAGCCCACTGCTCCTTAGGTCTCTCCCGCAGCGACTATCACTCCCCTTACAGCTCTCATCCCTTGCACACCTCTCATCCAATGCAGCACCATCAACTCCTCCTTTACTTTTTTCTCTTCATCTTCCCTGCTTTCTTCGCTCCGTGTGTGATCAGGAGACAAGAAAGCTGTACGAGGCAAAGAGGTAAGTCGCCCATTGCTCTGTTCACGCACCTGCCGCCCTCCTGTGCTATCATCTGTTTTTCCTCCCAACCCGTGCTAGCATCTGTGTCTTTCTGTCCGCCTTCACAGCTACTCAGGTTCACTCCCTCCCTTTCCATTCCCACTCCGCGCTCCCACATTCTTCCCTCGTCTTCTCTCCCCTGCCTTCGTTCTGCTTATCTCTCTCACACGCTCACTTGCTAACTCACTCCCGCACGCCGTCACAATGCATCTTCCCCACCCTTCTTGCTTCTTCTGACGTTTCTTCACGCGGGTCTCTTGTAGGCGCACTTATGCGGAGGCCAGAGCATCAGCGCGCACCCACGAATCTGGAGGTGCCTCAAAACCATCTCTCTTCGAACCCCCCCTCCTGTCGGCTCCCGTCACACGTGTCCCTTGCAGGCGCACTTATGCGGAGGCCAGAGCAGCAGCGCGCACCCATGTACCATCCCCTGCCACCGCACGCATTGGATGCTCTGGGGGCGGGGGCGGGGGAGCGGGAGGGGGAGGCGGAGGGGGCGGGGGCGGAGCTAGTTCCGCATCTGCAGCAGCAGCAGGCGGAGCAGGAGGGGGAGGAAGGCCGGCGGCAGTGGCAGGAGCAGCACCAGTTGGCGAGACAGACTGGGAGGGAGGGGCAACGCGTGGCAGAGGCAGACGGGAGTTTGAGGAAGGCGAGAGGGAGGAAGACGAGGAAGAGGAGGGGATGGGCGACGAGGAGCGAGCAGCCAAGGAGGAATTCGACGAAGTGGCCATGACCCTCGGGTGCAGGATACTCGCCTTAGAGCAGCGGCGACCCAGGGCGTTGCTTTCCCAGGTGGTGAGGCATCACGTGGCAAAGAGCCGGCTGCTGAGGCGGTCGCAGCTGCAGCTAGGGCAGCTGGATGGGATGATGGGGTATCTGGTGGAGGAGCTGGGGATGGGGGGTGTGGCGCTGCTTTGTAGCGTTGATGAGGATGATTATGACGAGGATGATGACTTGGGAGGCGTGGCAGCAGGCAGTGAGGAGCAGGTCACCTCATCTCAAGAGACACCTTCCACGCTCCCCCCTCCCCCAACCTCCGCCCCCTTGCCCTCGCTTCCCACCTCCGCCCCACTCCCCGCTCCCCCCACCTCCGCGCCCCTGCCGTCCCCTCCTCCCGCCCACTCCACCCAAGCCACTATTTTCAGTAGCGGCAGCACCGCTATCATCTCTCCAGCTGTTGCTTCCGCATCTGCTGCTGCTGCTGCCTTTGCGGCACACCCTTCTATCACAGGTCCCGCCTCTGTTTCGGGCCCAGGAGTAGCAATTGCACCAGCGCCTGCAGCATCGGCAGCAGCAGCGGTGGCGGCAGCGGCGGCGGCGGCAGCAGCACAGAATGGGTCGAGAGGGAGAGGCAGGAGCAGCTACTCAGCCCCTTTAAGGCCCGTTGTGCGTCCTGACGGTTCTGTCACGTCTAGGCCCCTTTTACCCCGTAACAGATCTGCTGAAAGCGAGTCCTTGGCGCCTCTCCCTGCTGTCCCTGCACCTGCTGCTGCTGCTGCTGCTGCTGCTGCTGCTGCTGCTCCCTCTTCCTCTGCTACAGCTGCAGCATCTGCAGTTGGTTCTGCAAGGGTGGTGCAGCAACAGGCAGGTCAGCAGCAGGTGCATCAGCAAGGGCAGCAGCTGCAGCAGCAACAGCATAAGGCGGCTGTAAGGCAGCAGGGGCAGCAGCAGCAGCAGCAGCAGATGCTGCCACAGCAGATGCTGCCACAGCAGGCAAGGAAACGGGTGCACCCTGGCTTTCCCCGAAGCAAGTCCTCTGATAGCCCCCACAGCAGCAGCACTGTAACCGCTGCTGCTGGTGGTAACCAGAGCTCGGGTCAGAGCTCGGGTGCGGCTCCCCAGCCTCAACAGCTGCAGCACCGACAGCCACAGCAGCAGCAGCAGCAGCAAGTGACGCAGCAGCACCAGCAACAACAACAAGCGAAACAGCAGCATCTGCAGCAGCAGCAGCAGCAGCAGCAGCAGCAGCAGCAGCAACAGCTTTTTCAGGGGCAGCAGCAGAGGGGGCAGCAGATGCATATCGGGAGAGCAAACGCACACTTGCAAAGTTCCTCTGTAGGCTCGTCCACCCTCGTCGTTCCCTTTTCCTCCTCCGCTTCCTCCTCTGATTCCCAACCCCACTCTCGGTCCAAGTCAGGGCCAATCCCCTCACCGTCTGCCCTCCCTAGCGCTGCCTCTGCTGCCGCCCACGCTCCTACTGCTTCTGCTGCTGTTGCTACAGCGACCGTTCCTGCGGCAGCAGCGGCAGCAGCAGCAGCAGCAGCAGCAGCAGCAGCAGCAGCACCTGGAGCAACTATGGGTACGCCGTCGCTTGTCAGAGCTCCAGGCAGCACCCTAGGAAATGCTTCAGGTAATGCCCCAAGTAATGCCCCAGGCATCACAGGTTCTGCTACTGCTGCGCCTGGCGCCACTCCCTCCCCTGCACTCGCTGGTGCTGCTGCTGCCACTCCCACTCCCCCAGCACCTCCACCTGCTGCTGCTGTGCTCCAAACACCTGTGCTTTCAGCTGCAGTGGCTGCAGCAGCAGCGGGGGGTGGGGGTGGGTTGAGGGGGAGAGCAGCACACGTGGGTCCCTTTGCCATGCAAATGTCTGGTCCACTGCCGCGCCCTTCTGCTGTTGAGCAGGCTGTAGCAGGAGGTGCTGCTGCTGCCTCTGCTTCTGCTACAGCCACTTCTGGTGCTACAGCTTCTCCCAGTCCTGCAGGCAGTGGAGGTGGTTCGGCGGGTGGTTTGGCAGGTGGTTTGGCAGGTGGTTCGGCAGGTGGTTCGGCAGGTGGTTCGGCAGGTGGAGCAGGTGGAAGTGGGGCCGGGCGGTTCAGCTTTGGCTCAACTGGCAGGGAAGTCCCTGCAGGTGGGTTGGCAGGAGGTCCTTCAGGTGGTTTGGCAGGGGGCTTCACAGGTGGGCTGACTGGAGGAGCAGCCATGCCTATGCCTGGGCATCAGGCCCCGGCCAAGAGAGTAAGCCATTCGGGACCCATTTTGAGGGGCAGTGGTGGTGGCGCTGGGTCAGCGTTAGGAGCAGCAGGAGCAACTGGAGTGGGAAGAGCAGGAGCAGGAGGAGCAGCAGCAGCCATGCCTTTATTCGATCCCTCTGCATCCTACCCTCCCTCTTCCTCCTTCCCTCCCTCCGCATCATACCCCCCATCGTCAGCACCTGCCTTCTCATCCAGTTTCCAGCAGGCATATGTTCTAGGAGCGGTACCCTCCCAGCCTCCTATGCCCTCCCAATCACCCATGCCCTCTCAACCTGCTACGACCCTCACAGCTGCTCCTGTGTCTGGGTATGCCTACGCTGGGGCAGCAGCAGGGGGAGCAGTGGGCGGCGGGGCAGGGTATGGGATAGAGCTTCAGCCTACCTGGCAGGCTGGTGTGTCTGGAGCAGGTATGAGGCCAACAGGGGCGGCAGCGGCAGCAGGGGCAACAGGCCTAGCAGTCCCGGGAGCAGTTACGATGGGGCCTTCAACAGGAGTTGCAATGGGCGTTCAAACGGGAGGCCTGGGTGTGGGTCAGAGCTACCCGTCCCACCCAGCTTACGGTTTCAACACCAGCCCGAGTGGCGGATTAGGGTTTGGGAGCAGTAGCAGCGGATTAGGGTTTGGCGCCTCGCCTGTTTTCCAGGGCGGTTTACCCAGCAAAGCCCTGAGTGGACCCATAGCCCGCAGCTCGTTCTACGGAGGCGGTGGTTTTCTCTCCTCAGCTGGCAATCCAGGCCTTACCGGTGCTGGTGGCAGCGGTAGCAGCAGCGGCAGCGGCGGCGGCGGCGGCAGCGGCGGGTTCAGCAGCAGCGGCACAGGGCACATGCGGGGAGAGAGGCTGATAAAATCCGGTCCAATCGGCCCGAGTAACAGCTACTATGCTGCAATGGCCGCTCCTGCTCTCTCCCCACCCAAGGTCACAGAGTTATACGCCCTCCCGCCTCCGCCTCTGGAGCTGAATTCGTCTCCTAGTGGAGTAGTTTCAGGGGGTGGTGGGGGTGCTGCTGGTGGTGGTGTGGGTGGCGGTGGGAGTGAGGGGAAAGCGGTGCTACGCTCCCCTGGAGCGAAGGAGGGTTCGTCTGTAGGAGCAGTGGCTGGTGGTGGGGGCAGTGGTAGTGGCAGTGTGGGTGGGGCAGCATCAGATGTGAGAGTGGAGAGGCAGGAGAGGGAGGTGGTTTCTTTGTCCTCTTCATCCTCGTCATCATCCACAACAGCCCAGGTTCGGCAGGAGCAGCAGCAGCTACAGCAGCAGGGGGCACAGGCCCAGCAGAGTCAGCAGAGTCAACCGAGTCAACAGAATCAGCAGAGCAGGCAGCAGCAGCAACAACCATCACCGCAACCACCCTCACAACAACCACCCCAGCAGCAGCAGCAGCAGCAGCAGCAGCAGCAGCAGCAGCAGCAGCAGCACGCGCGGCCGCAGCTCCCCCCGCTACAGCCACAGCCACGGGTGCTGCCAGCCTGGCCTGTGCAGCCCAGGGGGGCGGGCAGGGGGGTGGGATCACTGCGCCGCCCCATGTTCCCCACCATCATGTCGGAGGGCAGTGAGGAGGGCGAGTCTGGAACAAGCAGCTTCACTGGCTCCCCGGTAAGAAGGGGTGGTGTGCGGTTGAAAGAGGTCAATGAACTGTTTGTTTGGTCTGGTTGGGGCGGGATCACTGCGCCGCCCCATGTTCCCCGCCATCATGTCAGAGGGCAGTGAGGAGGGCGAGTCTGGAACAAGCAGCTTCACTGGCTCCCTTGTAAGAAGGGGTGGTGTGCGGTTGAAAGATGTTCAAAGGTTTGTCTGGTCTGGTTGCATCACTGCGCCGCCCCATGTTTCCCACGATCATGTCGGAGGGCAGCGTGGAGGGTGAATCTGGTACCAGCAGCTTCACTGGCTCCCCGGTAAGAAGGGATTGTGTGCGGTTGAAAGAGTGTCAAAGGTTTTTGTCTGGTCTGGTTGCATCACTCCCCACAATCATGTCGGAGGGCAGCGAGTAGAGCGAGTCTGGAACCAGCAGCTTCACTGTCTCGCCGGTAAGAAGGGGTGGTGTGCGGTTAAAAGGGATTCAGTGGCGTGTGTGTCTGGTCTGGTTGGGTCAGTTCCCCGCCCATGCTCCCCTCAGTTATGTCAGAGCTCCTTCACCTGATGACCTCACCCCTCCCTCCACTCCACCTTTCTCATACACATACTTTCTCTTGTACTGCCTCCCCCCTCCAACCCCCCCTCCCGTTTGTGTTCTCTGCAGTCTCTGTGCTCCTATGACAGCCCTAGAGCTGCTGCTCCTGACGACCTCCTCACCTTTCGTTCCACCCATGCCAATCTTTTTCATGCACCAAGCGTTCTCTGTTCCTTCCTCTCTTCCCCCGCCCCGCCCTCCTTTCCTTTCTGTTTTCTGCAGTCTCTGTGCTCCAATGACAGCCCTAGAGCTGCTGCACCTGAGGACCTCACGCTTCCTCGCACCTACGCAACTGCCTCTTCGTCCTCTTCCTCTTCCGCCGCCCAATCCTCCGCTCCCACTTCAACTCTTCAGCCCCGGCAGCATCATGGGAGTTCGGTCGAGCGATCTCAACCGTCGGATGCGGCGAGTTCAAGACGGCTGGAGATCCAGCTGAGGCAGGCGTTTTCGATGCCACGTCAGCATCATCTAGTGTCACCAGCTGATGGCATGTGCAGTCCGCATTCGTCCATGACGTCATCGTCGTCCTCGCCTGTGCATTCGCCACTGTTGCCAGCAGCCGCACAGTGAGGTGTAAATTGTGCATCCATTACAATAATTTTTATTTCATTTGTACTGAGCAAGTGCAAATGTTACGGTACTGAGTTCAGCTAATTTGATTGATTCCTTGTGGTGTATTGTTCTTTATTGTAAGCAACTTCCTGAACTAGTTGAAAGTGCTTGTATTTTGCTCTTCGCTTGCACGATTCACGCTGAAGCGGGTTGGTGTCAGTGTCAGAGAGCATGCATGGCGCACTGTTCCAGCCAGCCAATCACAATTTTAGGCGGGAAGTGAAATTTAGGTAGCTTCCCTCGATTGTGTCAGCAATTCCGGAACACACAGTTCGAGGTGTTGGTCAACAGATCCTGCTGAATGCCGTCCTTGTCTTTACGTAGTTATCTCGGATCTCGAGGCTGGGATAATCTGGAGGTTAGCTCCAGGGCCAACCTCAAGCCCAGATACCTTATAGACTCAGCAAGGTTCTGTGGCTTATCAGTCTTTTTACGTACCACTCGCATTTTTCTCAGGAAGTTATGGCAGTTATTACATAGTCTGTCTCTCCTGCCTCACGGAATTCAAAAAATATGCACGTCGAGGCGACTCTTAGATGCCGAGGATCTCGGACGGAGCTCCGTTAGGAAGTCCCGAGCGTTGGCTAAATGACCGTTAATTCCAGGGTTTGGAATAATGCTCAGAAGTGGTCAGTTGTGAAAAGTACAGCCTTGTCGAGTTCATCGTTTCGTTCCTAAAATCCTAGAACCTGCTTCGGCAAGGTCTCTCAATCCGCGGCCCAGGATGTAACCGCAAAGGCCTTTCGCGCCTTCTCCTTCCTGAGTGCCATTCTGGGCGTTTACCGTACAGCCGTGATTGCCTCACCTCTACCTCCGCACACCTCTTCGTTTAAAATCGTCACCATGACATTCCTTTCGAAAGCCCTCGCGGAGATCGCTCAACGGTCAGGATCGCTCAATCAAATTCCAAAGCGGAGCGAGTCGTGCAACTCCTTCTTCACGGGAAGCCAATCTCCAAGATCAGCCGCCTTTTCCGGTTCTCTTCTTCCACGCACCAAATCGCGAAGAGAGGACGGCGTAGGCCGCGTAATAATGTGGGTCATCCTTGCATTCCAGTCAAAGCGCATTCTTTCGTTCCTCGTGCTGCCGCTGCTCGCGTGCCTGCTCGTCTGGGGCTTGCTGCGCCGAAGCGGAGATGAGAGAGGGAAGTGGCCGGCTGTGGAGCGGCAGCCGTGGCGAGAGGAGATCGTCGTCGAGTCTTCGCCGTCGTCGTTGTTGAAGGAATATATTAGAGAGCGTAGCGATAGCGAGAGAGTCTCTGCTATGGGAATGATGTTGCGCCAGCAACTTGGTAGAGTTTTGGTAGCGTTTGCCTCTAAGGACTTTGTGAGAATTGAAGTAGCATTTGGGCCAAGTAGAATTGCAATATCAATTATCAAACACACAAGCAAACACAAACATATATAGGCAAGCAAGAGTTGCACAATTGTTGCGTGGCGCTGCGAGTAACCCAACCCACACGAAAGTGCTGTGCAGGTGGGTGAACGCGCCCCGCACATTTCCAACCCAACTCGGCACCGGAATGTCTCACCGTGCACGCTACTCCTGCCAACACAGCAAGTGAGCAGCGTGCCTCACAAGCAAGGCACCTACGACCCCCAAGACTCGTCATTCCTAGCACCGATTCCGCCGAGTTCGCTGCAGTAGCTCACAGTCACCCGTAGTCACTAATGACCGCCATCGAACTCGTGCGTCGGTGCCGAGTAGACTCAGTCGTTAGGCGCCGACCTGCCAAGTCAAAGGTCATCGAGGGCCCTTGCTGTCGTAGGGCCCTCTAACACTCCCCTGCCATACTACAGCAAGGCCCTTTATAATCACAGGGCATGCATACACACATACACACCAAAACAAAGGGATACACACAAACGAAACACGCTCAAAGTGTAAACACGCACCGCACCAGCCATGGATAGGCCATGGCACCATCCACATCATGGAGTGTCTAGGTCTTCACTCCCCTCACTCGAGAGCCGCACCTGCCCCACGAAGCAACGACTGAAGGCGGGGAAATGCAATGCCTTTGTGAGGTAGTCAGCAGGCTGCTCGCTCGTAGGGATGTACTGCAGCTGCAGCTTCCTGCGCTTGACCATGTGCTGCAGCCACATGTGACGACGCTCCATGTGTTTGAGGCTCCCCTTGAGCCCCATGCCACCTGCCACTGAAATGGCGGAGGAGTTGTCCACAAAGAGAGTCGTGGGCTCCTCACTCCTCAGCAGTTGAAACTCTGCCAGCAGGAAGCGCAGCCTGCGCGCCTCCTTCCCAGCCTCCACAGCAGCAACGTACTCAGACTCAGTGGAGGAAAGGGTGGCGCAACGAATCCGCTGGCTCGCCCATGAGACAGCAGCACCCCCGAGCACGAAGACATAGCCACCTGTGCTGGTCCTGTTCTGCTTGTCCCCTGCATCATCAGCATCGGCGTAGCCCACCAGCTCCAAGACACTCCGGCCCACCACCAAACTCCAGCGCCACATCCCTGCTCCCCACCAAGTACGTCAAGCACCGGTCCAACTCCTTCCAGTGCTGATCACTCCGCACAGTCTGGCCCGACCCCAGCTTGCTGCAGGCGAACGAGATGTCGGGACGGGTGGTACAGGCCGCGAACTGCAAGGATCCCACCTTCTGCCTTTACTCCTCCTCCTGGCGAGACTGCCATCCCACATCCTCGAAGGTCTGCACACTGAAAGGGTCAGAGGAAAGAGGGGTGCGAGGCACTCGCAGCGGCTGCTCCCCGTCAAAGAAGCGCCTATGGACCTTGTCCACATAGGCCCCCTGGTGCAGCCACAGCCTCCTCGTGGGCCTGTCCCGAATCAGCTGCAACCCCAGATATTTCTCCACAGGGCTAATCTCCCGCAGCTGAAAGGCACTCTGCAGCAGGTCACGCAGCTCCGCTAACATGCTCTGACTGCGGCTGGCAGCAAGCAGGTCATCCACATACACCAGCAGCCAGCACATCTCCCCCTCAGCATCAGTCTTGAAGTACAGAGCCTCATCCACCTTGCTCTTCTTCCATCCAGCCCCAAGCAGCACCCCATCCAAGGCCTCATACCATAGCATCGGGCTCTGCTTGAGCCCATACAGACTCTTCACCAACTTACAGACACGAGGAGTCCCATCCTCGTAGTAGCTCGGCTGCTCCATGTAAAGGTCTCGGTCCAGCACGCCATGGAGGAACGCGTTCTTCACATCGAGCTGCATCAGGTCCAAATCAAGTGCAGCTGCAATCGCCAGAAGCACACGCGCCGTCACATAGCTTCCCACAGGGGCGTACGTCTCCTCATAGTCCACCCCTGCCACCTGCGTGAACCCCTTCACCACCAGCCTCGCCTTCTCACGCTCCACTATCCCATCTGGTCGGAACTTGGTGTTCAAAATCCAGCGGTTCTTCATCACATTCACCCCTGGCGGACGCGGAACCAACTCCCACGTCCCCTGCTCAATCAAGCTCCGCATCTCCTCATCCATCGCCTCTTTCACCTTGTCTCCCTTCCAGCAGCCCAAGGCCTCCTTCACTGTCATTTTCGCTATGTCCCACTGCCTCTCAGGGTCAGCTGCCACGTCCGGGTCCAGGTCAGTCCACTCCTCGTCCTCCTCCTCGTCATCCAAGCCCGCTGGCTCATCCACTACAGCCCAAGCGTATCGAACAGGCGGGACACTACGAGTGATGCGAGTGGAGCGACGCAGTGGTGCAGTGGTCGTCCCAGAAACCAACACACGACCACCATCTCTAATTCCCCACATCTCCTGCTCCCCCGTCTGCAGCTCCCCTGTCTGCCCAGACGGCCTGAGCCAACGCCAGGTGCCACCAGTGATGCTGCACACCCATGTGCAGCAACATCGTCCGCACCGCCTCCACAATGCTGCGCATCTCCCTCTCGGCCATCCCGTTCTGCTCCGGCGTGTACGGGCATGTGAGGTCATGGATGATGCCTTTACCGTCGAGGAAGAGCGTGAAGTCGTGCCCCAGGAACTCGCCACCCCGATCAGTGCGCAGCGCCTGCACCGTGGTCTTGCACTGTCGCTCTGCCATCGGGAGCCACTTCTGGAACGCCGCCAGTGCATCACTCTTCTGGGCCAAAGGGTAGGCCCAGACATATCGCGTCTTGCGATCCTTCAGCACCAAGAAGTAGCGGCTGCCGTCCTTAGCTGCTTCACGGAAAGGGCCACATAGGTCAGCATGCACCACCCCGAGCAACTCATCCTCCTCCTCTCCCACAGAAGGAAAGGTATGACGAGTGATCTTTCCCCCAACACAGGAGACACAAGGTATGCCTGACTTCTCCAAATCCAAGCCCTTCACTGACCCGTGAGCCGCTGTGCGCTCGATGGCATCAATACCAACGTGTGCCATACGCGCATGCCACAGGTCCCCCTTAGACCGTACGCCGGTCGCCAAGGTACGAAGTGCCACCGTTTCGCCTTCCTGCTGCTGCGTCGAACACGGCTGGAAGTTCGTGCAGAGAACACGCCCCTTGAACTCCGCACGACCAAGGAGCGATCCATCTGGTGCCCGCAGCAAAGTCACATCCCCGGCATCCAGCAGCTGCACACCACTATCACGCAGCTGCCCAGCAGAGAGAAGACTCGCCTGCACTCCTGGTACGTACAGCACGTCCGGCACCAAGACACGCCTGCCCCCCTCCCCAAGAAGAGCGACTGTGCCTCGCCCCTGCACCTCCTGAAGGGCGCCGTTGAAGCCGGTAACCTGCTTAATGCTGCCGCCGCTGCTCATCTCCACAAAGGCAGAACGATCTCCCATGAGATGGTGGGAGCATCCGCTATCAAGCAGCACGACGCTCGGGTTCGCCTTCACAGCAGCTGCAACAGCCTGTAAGCCCTCCTCGGCCTCAGGCTCTAGCACAACGAGAGGAGTCTGCTCCACAACTGGCTTCACCATCGCACATGATGACTGCCCGCTCCCCTTAGAGCCATCACCCCCCTTTCCGCTGCTACCTCCAGAACCCTCTCCACCGGTGTCTGCCTCCTTATCCGCCCGCTGCTGACAGTACTTAGCAACATGCCCTATTTGTCCACACACATAGCACTTCCCCTTGAAGCCCCCTTTCCCCCCCTTCGGCTGGCCATCCTTACCCCCTTTCCACTTCTCCCCTCCCCCACCAAGCCCACCCCCATTCTTAGGCTGCTGCTGCTGTGCCGTAGTGGGAGGGGAAGGGAATGAAGTCTGCTGGAATTGGGGCTTACCCTTCTTGGTAAAGACCTGGTTAGCCTGGGGAAGAAATTGGTCCTTTCGTCCCTCTGCCGCCAGCGTACACTCCTCCTCGATGATGTAGCTAGCGAGGGTGTCCTCGTCCAACTCCTTGCGAACCTGCGGCAACTTCAGCATCCTGCGTAAGAGGTTGTACTGCTGCGGCAACCCCTTCACAACGTGAGTGATGTACGACGCCTGCGAGTAATCTACGCCGGCCATCCTCAGGTTCACTAGGATCTGCTGCGCACGGTTGCAATAGGACGTAGCGGACTCGTGCTCTCCCATCTCGAGGTTAGTGAGCGCCTGCTCTAACTGACCGATGTACAGATCGTCCTTCGCCATGTACGTGCGCATAATAAACTGCCATGCCTGATAGCCGGCATCGACCTTCATGCGACACGCCTTAAGGGCGATCTGTACGGTTGGGGAGCAGCATCGGGAAATGGTGGTGAATGTCAGCAACTGCATCGCGCGGAACTGAGAGAGATGCGCAAGCGCACGCGCTGGTGGAATGGGGGTGGTGCCATCTATGAATCGCTTTAGCTGAGCGATCTCAAGCTGCGGCTCGATTGATTCTGTCCACGTCGACAGGTCGTGACGTCCTTCTAGCGGCCTAGTGACAACGATCTTGTCTGGAGTGAATCTGAAGTAGCCATAGTTGGGGGCTATTCCCTCGTCCCTCGACATCGATCCAATCGGGGTAACGCCCGGCATAGCCTCACTATCGAACTCTTCCGCAATTCCTCCTCCAGCAACGCTCCGCCGTCCTACATTCGCATGCTCTCGTGACGCTGCTGCACGATGAACACGCTCCTGTACACCGCCAACGCTAGCCGTACTAAACCGAGTTGGTCCTCGCAGGACCCCACGCGACATCAACCCATCAAACTCCTCGTCATCGCTATTTCCGCCATCGACAGCCATATCCCACGCACTAGTACCTCTCGCAACTTGCTCAACATTCTCTACACGTGGCGAAGGGTGCTCACGACGCCGACGCGAGCGCAATCCCTCCAACATTAGCTCGTATTCGATATCACTAATCTCACCACGAGAATGACGAGCCACGAGATCCTCCTCTAGGGCGCGCAAATTACCGGCCTCCACGTTCGCCTCCTCTGTACTCATCCTCTACGACGTCTCTGTAAGGTACCACAAATTAAAATAAAGTGCCCCTTCCTTAAATCCCTCGTCTCGGGGTCACCTCACAAGGGTCCTCAGACGAGTGGTAATAAATTACCAAACGCCCTATCCTTGGGTCCGAGAACGTAACTGGAGGGAAATCAAGAGAGGTTCAACTTAGATTAATAAACGCCCTTCACTAACGCCGCACGCCAAGGCGAGTATACGAACGCGAATATCAACGACGACGGAAATCTATGCGTGTTCGTTCCACGCTCACCGCACCATGAAGGAATATATTAGAGAGCGTAGCGATAGCGAGAGAGTCTCTGCTATGGGAATGATGTTGCGCCAGCAACTTGGTAGAGTTTTGGTAGCGTTTGCCTCTAAGGACTTTGTGAGAATTGAAGTAGCATTTGGGCCAAGTAGAATTGCAATATCAATTATCAAACACACAAGCAAACACAAACATATATAGGCAAGCAAGAGTTGCACAATTGTTGCGTGGCGCTGCGAGTAACCCAACCCACACAAAAGTGCTGTGCAGGTGGGTGAACGCGCCCCGCACATTTCCAACCCAACTCGGCACCGGAATGTCTCACCGTGCACGCTACTCCTGCCAACACAGCAAGTGAGCAGCGTGCCTCACAAGCAAGGCACCTACGACCCCCAAGACTCGTCATTCCTAGCACCGATTCCGCCGAGTTCGCTGCAGTAGCTCACAGTCACCCGTAGTCACTAATGACCGCCACCGAACTCGTGCGTCGGTGCCGAGTAGACTCAGTCGTTAGGCGCCGACCTGCCAAGTCAAAGGTCATCGAGGGCCCTTGCTGTCGTAGGGCCCTCTAACAGTTGTTACTGTCGCAAGCGTCGCACGGTGGCTTGGCAGCAGCGAGTGAGCTCGTAGGCAGCGAAACCTACAAAGCGAACGTATCACGTTTAGAGGATGGCAGTGAAGGGGGCGCAGTGACTGGTTCAGAGACGAAGGAACGAGAGAAAGCGGTTGAACGATTGGGGGAGGCGGCCGGCGACGGCGACGACGGGTTACCTGATCCTGGGCGAAGTAGGGGCGAAGGGGGAGGTGGGGTAGAGGACTCAACTGGGGAGAGAAAGGCGGGCAGCAATGGAGAGAAGGCGGAGCGGGATGTAGGAAATGCGGAGAGCGATGGAGGCAAGGAGGAGAGCAGGGGCGAGGGTAACGGGGAAGGGATCGATGGGCTGAAAGTGGAAACTGATCTGAGGGATGAGCAGATGAGAGAGGGAGGGAACGGAGATGGTCAGGGGGAGGAAAGGCTTTCCGAGGCAACTCAGAAGTCATCGGAGGGGCGGCAGGATGAGATTGTAGTGGTGGAGAGCGGTGGAGGGAGCCGAGGCGTGGGAGAGAAAGAGGTAGAGGAGAGGAAAGAGGAGAAGAGGGGGGGTGAGGTGGAGGAGGTGGAGAATAAAGGGGGGAAGAGGGAGGAGAGGGAGAAGGAGGAGAAGAAGGAGAAGGGGGAGAAGGAGAATGAGGTGGAGGAGACGGAGAAGAAGATGAAGGGGAAGAAGAAGGAGGAGACGAAGGAGAAGGGGAAGGGAAAGAAGAAGGGGAAGAAGCGTCAGCAGTACGAGGAGGTCAAGGAGAAAGTCCATCTAGACGGTATGTTTGCACACAGCTCCTTTCCACCATGCCGCGCCCTTTCCCAGTCCCGCGTACTGTGACCAGACGGCACGTGGGAGCCCACGTGTTCAGTCGTCGCCAAAGCTGCTGCCCTGACCAGACGCACACCCAACCCACATGTTGTCTCTTCCAGCTCTCCGGCTGCCCAGCCTCTGGGGATGATAATGCCCCCCCACTCCCACCTTCCCCTGCCTCCCTTCCCAGTGCCCGCGGACTGCGACCTGTACGTGCTTCAAAACCAGTCACGTGCTACCATGGCACGTGGCAGCCAGACTCAAAACCAGTACGTGCTATGGTAGCACGTGCCATGGCAGCCAGACTCAAAACCAGTCCACGTGCTTCGTTCTTCACGTTCCCTGATAGGCAACTTGGCTGGATCATGTTCCCCCCACCTTCCCCCCTGTCCCTTCCCCAGTCCCTGCAGACTGCGACCTGTACCACGGCACGTGGCAGCCGGACTTGAACTGAATTCCTTTGTTCTCTCTTCCCGCTCTCTATTTGCCAATGACCCCCCTCCTGTTCCCAGTGCCCGCGGACTGCCACCTGTACCACGGCACGTGGCAGCCGGACGCAGATCTAGTCCCCATGCTCTATCTTCCCGCTCCCCCCCTTCCCCCCCCGCCTCCCTCCCCCAGTCCCCGCGGACTGCGACCTGTACCACGGCACGTGGCAGCCAGACCTGGAATCGCCGCTCTACACCAACAACACGTGCGCCGCCATCTCGCAGCACCAGAACTGCCAGGGCAGACAAATTGCACTCCCATTACCCCCCTGTCCCTCCCCCAGTCCCTGCAGACTGCGACCTGTATCACGGCACGTGGCAGCCAGATGCGGACCCAATCCCCATGTCCTTTCTTCCCGCCCTCCCTCGTTTTCCCAGTCCCCGCAGACTGCGACCTGTATCACGGCACGTGGCAGCCAGATGCGGACCCAATCCCCATGTCCTTTCTTCCCGCCCTCCCTCGTTTTCCCAGTCCCCGCAGACTGCGACCTGTATCACGGCACGTGGCAGCCAGATGCGGACCCAATCCCCATGTCCTTTCTTCCCGCCCTCCCTCGTTTTCCCAGTCCCCGCAGACTGCGACCTGTATCACGGCACGTGGCAGCCAGATGCGGACCCAATCCCCATGTCCTTTCTTCCCGCCCTCCCTCGTTTTCCCAGTCCCCGCAGACTGCGACCTGTATCACGGCACGTGGCAGCCAGATGCGGACCCAATCCCCATGTCCTTTCTTCCCGCCCTCCCTCGTTTTCCCAGTCCCCGCAGACTGCGACTTGTACCACGGCACGTGGCAGCCGGACACCGAACCTCCGCTCTACACCAACAACACGTGCGCCGCCATATCGCAGCACCAGAACTGCCAGGGCAACGGCCGGCCGGACAGTGGGTACGAGCGGTGGCGGTGGCGGCCGGGGGGGCGGGAGGAGTGCGGGGCGCTGCCGCGGTTTGATGCGGTGGAGTTCATGCACGTGATGCGCGGGAGGAGCGTTCTGTTCGTTGGGGACTCTGTGGCGCGAAATCACATGGAATCGCTCATCTGCCTGCTCAGTCAGGTGAGCAGTGGGGGGATGAGTCAGGTCTGGAGTGTAAAGGGTGACTCGGTGGAGTTCCTGCAGGTGATGCACGGAAGAGAGAAGGGGGAGTGCGGGGCGCTGCCACGGTTTGACGCGGTGGAATTCATGCACGTGAAGCGAGGGAAGAGCGTTCTGTTCGTGGGGGACTCTGTTGCACAGAACCACATGGAGTCGCTCATTCTCCCGTCTCTTCCCCCCCGGTAATCCAGGTGGAAACCCCCCACCTGCGGGGCAGCAAGAGCCTAATCCGCATGGTCTTCCCGCGCGCCAAGGTCACCATTGCGCGCATCTGGTCCGCGTGGCTCGTCCACGAGTCCCCTTCCTTTCCCCTACCCTTCCCTTCCTACCCTTCCCTTCCCTCCCCTTCCCCTCCTGACCAACACCAGGTGGAGACCCCCCACCTGCGAGGCAACAAGAACCTCATCCGAATGGTCTTCCCCCGCGCAAAGGTCACCATAGCGCGCATCTGGTCCGCATGGCTCGTCCAAGAGTCCCCCGACCCTCCCCCCTCCGCGCTGCCCTCCGCCCCTGAGTCCCTTCCGCGCCTGCGCCTGGACAGAACGGGGGAGAAGTGGTGGGGGGGTGTAGAGCGGTATGATGTGGTGGTGCTGTGCACTGGGCACTGGTTTGTTAAGCCGGCGCTGTTTGTGGTGGGGGGACGCGTGGTGGGGTCGCAGGGCGGGTGGTGGGAGGCTCATGGGAAGGAGGTGGAGGGAGGGGGAGGAGGGGGGAATGGCGAGGAGACGAGAGCAGGAGCAGGAGGAGGAGGGGGAGCGGGAGCGGGAGGGGGAGGAGGAGGAGAAAGTGGGAAAGAGAGTGGTTCTGAAGGCAGTGCGGAGCAGCTGGAAAGGAAGGGAGGTGAGAGTAGTCGGCAGGAACAACAGGTGGAGCAGCGGAGAAGGTTGGAGGGAAGGGTAGTGGCTGAGGATACAAAGCTTTCAGCGAACAACAGAGCAGCCAGTAGCAGACAATTGAAGGATACACAGAAGGATCTACAGAAGGATTCACAGAAGGATCTACAGAAGGATTCACAGAAGGATCTACAGAAGGATCTACAGAAGGATTCACGGAAGGATCTACAGAAGGATCTACAGAAGGATCTACAGAAGGATGTAGAGGTTCCTCTGAACAACACTGCTGCTTTCTCCATTGCCATTCGGACCGTCTTTGCTGACGTCGCAGCAGCTGTCAAGGCGAACCCGAAGCAGATTTTTGTCTTCCGAACCTACTCCCCGGACCACTACGAGGGCGGGCAGTGGAACACCGGAGGCTCGTGCGCAGGCCTGGCCGAGCCTCGCGGCAGCAACTACACTTACCAAAACTCGTACGGGAACGCGATTTATAACGAGCAGAAGGCAGCTTATAACGAGGCTATGGAGGGGCTGGGAGATGAGTTCAAGTGGCGATTTGGCCTGATGGACATAATGCCGAGTGCGGGGGTGAGAGTTGACGGGCATCCGGGGCCGTATAGAGGGCTGAACAGTGTAGCAGAGCTGGAGAAGCGCATGGAGGAGGAGAAAGAGGCCAAGTACCCTCCTCCGCAGGACTGCCTGCACTGGTGCCTGCCCGGGCCTATAGACTCGTGGAATGTGTTTCTGCTGCAGCTGATCAAACGGCAGAGAGTAATGGGGCAGGCAGGGGCGTAGAGGGCAGGCAGGGATGTGGAGGCACAGAGGTCCAGAGGCACAGGATGATGGTGCAGGCAGGGGTGTAGAGGCTTAGAGCCACAATGGCACAGGGTGATAGGGCACGCTACTGCTCGGATCTAGGTATGGGCCAAAGAGGGAAGCGGCGTTTTGAGACGCTTCAAGAGGGCTGGACAGTTGTTGGCGGAGCTGGTAGGGCATAGGAAGAAGGAGAGCAAGTCCAAACGGCATAGGGTCATGGGGCAGGCTGGGGCTTGATGCTGTGGGTGTGGGTGTGGGTGTGGGGTGGGGCAGATAGGGGTGTAACCGTACAGATGTGCGATGGGCCAGGCAGGGGCATGACGGTACAGGGTCGTTGGTGGGACGGCCAGTGGATGTGTGATGGGGCATGGCATGGGGAAGAGTGGTGCTTACAGGGTGGAACATGGCATGGGGTGGGACAGAGTGGTGCTTGCAGCTGGGCGTGAAGCAGACAGGACAGGGTCACGAAGCTTCCTGTCCTACCCTGAAGTACCTTGGTGTTGTGGTGTGCTAGTCAAGCAGGCGGTAGTCAACTAGGCCTCCTTTGCCACCAGGGCGCCTTGATTTGATTTGATTTGAAGCGTTGGATGTCTGACGGCCTCGGCGCAAGGTTTATGTTATGGCGCTAGATGCCCACAGGCGTACGGTACAATACAAGCTTATAACGCACCCATCCATGCCGTGTAGAGCTGACCACGTGTGTGACTTGCAGGTTGTTGAAGCCTTTTTAGCAGTATAACAAGACAAGATGCATCCAGTGAAGCCTTTTTAGCAGTATAACAAGACAAGATGCATCCAGTGCAAGCTCACCAACTACCAATCGCGTCAATTGTCCCCAAAGAGTCAAGTGACTCAAGTGTATTCTGCTACAGTACTACAGTGCTACTCCATTGTGATGGCCAACTGGCTATCTGACGTATGCTTTACAAGACGACTACTTCCCGATCAGACACCAAGAGGCAGGACCTGTGGTTTTAGCTGCCCCCCTGCCAGAATGGGAACAGCGTCTGGGCTGGGAGTCCCTTGTGCGGTCCCGGCATGCTCCAGCTGCGTGGAAGCAGTGTCAGTGGGAAGGAGTCAAGCTTGGTTCAGGTTTGATTGGTTGGTTCATACGGTACGTTCGGTTCAGCTCAGCTGTTCAGAGGAAGCACCTGCCAGTCCGGCTGCTCCCTCCCCTGCCAGCATCGACACCAGAACAGCCTTCCCCAGGACCCACGGGTGATGGAGCAGGGTCAGGGGTGCCGTATTGCGTCAAGTTTGCTCCAGATTCGGTTTAGCATTCATTCAGCTGTTCAGAGGAAGCACCTGCCAGTCCGGCTGCTCCCTCCCCTGCCAGCATGGGCACGAGGGAGCCCCCATCACTGTATGGGTACGAGTCGGGCACGGCCCACGGTTGGTGGATGGGAGTGACGCGGCGGGAGTTATTGGCGTGTAAAAGAGTTGGTTCAGATATCAAACAGCAGCACCTGCCAGTCCAGCTGCTCGCCTGCCAGCATGGGCACGAGGGAGCCGCCATCGGCATATGGGTACGAGTCGGGCACGGCCCACGGCTGGCGGATGAGAGTGATGGTGGTGGGTGGGGATGATTCACATCTGTTCAAGCTTGGTTTAGCGATCCAAAGGCAGCACCTGCCACTCCAGCTGCTCGCCTGCCAGCATGGGCACGAGGGAGCCATTGCCTTCCCCATACGGGTACGAGTCGGGCACGGCCCACGGCTGGCGGATGAGAGTGATGCGGCGGGGGTTATTGACGGCTAAAAGAGTTCGGCTCAGTGATCCAAAGGCAAAACCTGCCAGTCCAGCTGCTCGCCTGCCAGCATGGGCACGAGAGAGCCCCCATCAGCATACGGGTACGAGTCGGGCACGGCCCACGGTTGGCGGACGAGAGTGATGCGGCGGGAGTTGCGAGGCAGGCCGTAGAAATCAGGTCCGTTGAAGCTGGTGAATGCCTCTAGCTTGTCCAGTGCGCCCGCCTGTAAGGGCGGAAGGAGAGGATATGGAAAGGGGAAGGAGGGAAGGATTGAAGCGAGGAGTGGGGTCGTGTGAGGCAGGCCGTAGAAATCAGGTCCGATGAAGCTGGAGAATGGTAGAAGTCGGGCCTCGAGCTTGTCCAGCGAGGCAGGCGGTACAAGTCGGGTCCGTTGAAGCTGGTGAATGGGAGAGAGGGAAATGGGAAGGTGGAGAAGGGGAGGGAAGGGTGAGAAGAGGACCTGGTCCCACCTGGTCACACCTGGTCACACCTGGTCACACCTGGTCACACCTGGTCACACCTGGTCTCACCTGGTCACACCTGGTCCCACCTGGTCTCACCTGGTCTCACCTGGTCACACCTGTTCTCACCTGGTCACACCTGGTCTCACCTGGTCTCACCTGGTCTCTCCTGGTCTCACCTGGTCCCACCTGGTCTCACGTGGTCACACCTGGTCTCACCTGGTCACACCTGGTCTCACCTGGTCCCACCTGGTCTCACCTGGTCACACCTGGTTCCACCTGGTCTCACCTGGTCACACCTGGTCCCACCTGGTCTCACGTGGTGGCGGGCACGTTTGTGGATTGCGTCAAGATCTGCCAAGCATCGCCGTCCACCATTCTGCCATACGCCACCATGTCGTGCCTTCAGGTGAATACCCCATCATGTCGTGCCTCAGGTCGATACCCCACCATGTCGTGTCTTCAGCTGAATACACCACTATGCTTTGCCTTCAGGTCAGTGCCATACCATGACAATACAGGCTTGTGTTGCAACAATGACATCCCATTTCGCTTCTTCTCCCCCACGTGCAGATCGTCGGTGTCAAACTGTCCCTTTTCCCCAATTCTCTCTGCACTGGTACGATGTACCTTCCAACACGCTATTATTGTCCCTACTCGTTCCCTACTTCTTGAAGTCAATGAAGCAATGTGCTTCTTGAAAGAGAAGCTTCCAAGCTGATACTTGGCCCGCGTGTGCGACTTGGTTCGCTCGAGCGCCTTGGTCCACGCGTGCGCCTTGGTCCACGCGCCTTGGTCAGGACGCGTGCGCCTTGGTCCGAGCGCGCGCCTTGGTCCGGGGGCGCGCCTTGGTCCGGGCGCGCGCCTTGGTCCGGGAGCGCGCCTTGGTCCGGGCGCGCGCGCCTTGGTCCGGGGGCGCGCCTTGGTCCGAGCGCGCGCCTTGGTCCGCGCGCGCGCCTTGGTCCGGGCGCGCGCGCGCGCCTTGGTCCAGGCGCTCGCGCCTTGGTCCGGAAGCGCGCCTTGGTCCGGGGGCGCGCCTTGGTCCGGGCGCGCGCCTTGGTCCGGGGGCGCGCCTTGGTCCGGGCGCGCGCCTTGGTCCGGGGGCGCGCCTTGGTCCGAGCGCGCGCCTTGGTGTGAGCGCGCGCCTTGGTTCGCGCGAGCGCCTTGGTCCGGGCGCGCGCGCCTTGGTCCGGGGGCACGCCTTGGCCCGGGGGAGCGCCTTGGTCCGGGGGTGCGCCTTGGTCCGGGCGCGCGCCTTGGTCCGGGGGCGCGCCTTGGTCCTGGGGCGCGCGTTGGTCCGGGCGCGCGCCTTGGTCCGGGAGCGCGTCTTGGTCCGGGAGTGCGCCTTGGTCCGGGGGCGCGCCCTGCTCCGGGGGCGCGCCTTGGTTTGGGCGCGCGCCTTGGTCCGGGGGCGCGCCTTGGTCCGAGCGCGCGCCTTGGTCCGAGCGCGCGCCTTGGTCCGCGCGCGCGCCTTGGTCCGGGCGCGCGCGCCTTGGTCCGGGGGCACGCCTTGGTCCGAGGGAGCGCCTTGGTCCGGGGGCGCGCCTTGGTCCGGGCGCGCGCCTTGGTCCGGGAGCGCGCCTTGGTCCGGGGGCGCACCTTGGTCCGGGGGCGCGCCTTGGTCCGGGGGCGCGCCTTGGTCCGGGGGCGCGCCTTGGTCCGAGCGCGCGCCTTGGTCCGAGCGCGCGCCTTGGTCCGCGCGCGCGCCTTGGTCCGGGCGCGCGCGCCTTGGTCCGGGGGCACGCCTTGGTCCGAGGGAGCGCCTTGGTCCGGGGGCGCGCCTTGGTCCGGGCGCGCGCCTTGGTCCGGGAGCGCGCCTTGGTCCGGGGGCGCACCTTGGTCCGGGGGCGCGCCTTGGTCCGGGGGCGCGCCTTGGTCTGGGGGCGCGCATTGGTCCGGGCGCGCGCGCCTTGGTCCGGGCGCGCCTTGGTTCGGGCGCGCGCCTTGGTCCGGGCGCGCGCCTTGGTCCGGGAGCGCACCTTGGTCCGGGGGCGCGCCTTGGTCCGGGCGCGCGCCTTTGTCCGGGCGCGCGCCTTGGTCCGGCCGCGCGCGCGTTGGTCCGGGCGCGCGCGCGTTGGTCCGGGGGCGCGCCTTGGTCCGAGCGCGCGCCTTGGTCCGGGCGCGCGCCTTGGTCCGGGCGCGCGCCTTGGTCCGGCCGCGCGCCTTGGTCCGGCCGCGCGCGCGTTGGTCCGGGCGCGCGCGCGTTGGTCCGGGGGCGCGCGCGTTGGTCCGGGGGCGCGCCTTGGTCCGAGCGCGCGCCTTGGTCCGCGCGCGCGCCTTGGTCCGGGCGCGCGCCTTGGTCCGGGGGCGCGCCTTGGTCCGGGGGCGCGCCTTGGTTCGGGCGCGCGCCTTGGTCCGGGCGAGCGCCTTGGTCCGGGCGCGCGCGCCTTGGTCCGGGCGCGCGCGCCTTGGTCCGGGGGCGCGCCTTGGTCCGGGGGCGCGCCTTGGTCCGGGGGCGCGCCTTGGTCCGAGCGCGCGCCTTGGTCCGAGCGCGCGCCTTGGTCCGCGCGCGCGCCTTGGTCCGGGCGCGCGCGCCTTGGTCCGGGGGCACGCCTTGGTCCGAGGGAGCGCCTTGGTCCGGGGGCGCGCCTTGGTCCGGGCGCGCGCCTTGGTCCGGGAGCGCGCCTTGGTCCTGGGGCGCGCCTTGGTTCAGGGGCGCGCCTTGGTCCGGGGGCGCGCCTTGGTCCGGGGGCGCGCATTGGTCCGGGCGCGCGCGCCTTGGTCCGGGCGCGCCTTGGTCCGGGCGCGCGCCTTGGTCCGGGCGCGCGCCTTGGTCCGGGAGCGCACCTTGGTCCGGGGGCGCGCCTTGGTCCGGGGGCGCGCCTTGGTCCGGGCGCGCGCCTTGGTCCGGGCGCGCGCCTTGGTCCGGGCGCGCGCCTTGGTTCGGGCGCGCGCCTTGGTCCGGGCGCGCGCCTTGGTACGGGCGCGCGCGCATTGGTCCGGGCGCGCGCGCCTTGGTCCGGGCGCGCGCCTTGGTCCGGGGGCGCGCCTTGGTCCGGGGGCGCGCCTTGGTTCGGGCGCGCGCCTTGGTCCGAGCGAGCGCCTTGGTCCGGGCGCGCGCGCCTTGGTCCGGGCGCGCGCGCGCGCCTTGGTCCGGAAGCGCGCCTTGGTCCGGGGGCGCGCCTTGGTCCGGGCGCGCGCCTTGGTCCGGGGGCGCGCCTTGGTCCGAGCGCGCGCCTTGGTCCGAGCGCGCGCCTTGGTCCGCGCGCGCGCCTTTGTCCGGGCGCGCGCGCCTTGTTCCGGGGGCACGCCTTGGTCCGAGGGAGCGCCTTGGTCCGGGGGCGCGCCTTGGTCCGGGGGCGCGCCTTAGTCCGGGAGCGCGCCTTGGTCCGGGGGCGCGCCTTGGTCCGGGGGCGCGCCTTGGTCCGGGGGCGCGCCTTGGTCCGGGGGCGTGCATTGGTCCGGGCGCGCGCGCCTTGGTCCGGGCGCGCCTTGGTCCGGGGGCGCGCCTTGGTCCGGGCGCGCGCCTTGGTCCAGGGGCGCGCCTTGGTCCGGGGGCGCGCCTTGGTCCTGGGGCGCGCCTTGGTCCGGGCGCGCGCCTTGGTCCGGGAGCGCGTCTTGGTCCGGGAGTGCGCCTTGGTCCGGGGGCGCGCCTTGGTCCGGGGGCGCGCATTGGTCCGGGCGCGCGCGCCTTGGTCCGGGTACGCCTTGGTCTGGGCGCGCGCCTTGGTCCGGGCGCGCGCCTTGGTCCAGGGGCGCGCCTTGGTCCGGGGGCGCGCCTTGGTCCTCGGGCGCACCTTGGTCCGGGCGCACGCCTTGGTCTGGGAGCGCGCCTTGGTTCGGGGGCGCACCTTGGTTCGGGCGTGCGCCTTGGTCCGGGCGCGCGCGCGCACCTTGGTCAGGAAGCGCGCCTTGGTCCGGGGGCGCGCCTTGGTCCGAGCGCGCGCCTTGGTCCGAGCGCGCGCCTTGGTCCGCGCGCGCGCCTTGGTCCGGGCGAGCGCCCCTTGGTCCGGGGGCGCGCCTTGGTCCGGGCGCGCGCCTTGGTCCGGGCGCGCGCCTTGGTCCGGGCGCGCGCCTTGGTTCGGGCGCGCGCGCGCGCCTTGGTCCGGGAGCGCACCTTGGTCCGGGGGCGCGCCTTGGTCCGGGGGCGCGCCTTGGTCCGGGCGCGCGCCTTGGTCCGGACGCGCGCCTTGATCCGGGCGCGCGCGCCTTGGTCCGGGCGCGCGCCTTGGTACGGGGTCGCGCCTTGGTCCGGGGTCGCGCCTTGGTCCGGGGTCGCGTCTTGGTCCGGGCGCGCGCGCCTTGGTCCGGGCGCGACTCGGTCCGGGCGCGCGCCTTGGTCCGGGCGCGCGCCTTGGTCCAGGGGCGCGCCTTGGTCTTGGGGCGCGCCTTGGTCCGGGCGCGCGCCTTGGTCCGGGAGCGCGTCTTGGTCCGGGGGCGCGCCTTGGTCCGGGCGCGCGCGCCTTGGTCCGGGCGCGCGCACCTTGGTCCGGGGGCGCGCCTTGGTCCGGGCGCGCGCCTTGGTCCGGGAGCGCGCCTTGGTCCGGGGGCGCGCCTTGGTCCGGGGGCGCGCCTTGGTCCGGGCGCGAGCGCCTTGGTTTGGGCGCGCGCGCATTGGTCCGGGCGCGCGCCTTGGTCCGGGGGCGCGCCTTGGTCAGGGGGCGCGCCTTGGTCCGGGGGCGCGCATTGGTCCGGGGGCGCGCATTGGTCTGGGCGCGCGCGCCTTGGTCCGGGCGCGCCTTGGTCCGGGCGCGCGCCTTGGTCCGGGTGCGCGCCTTGGTCCGGGGGCGCGCCTTGGTCCTGGGGCGCGCGTTGGTCCGGGCGCGCGCCTTGGTCCGGGAGCGCGTCTTGGTCCGGGAGTGCGCCTTGGTCCGGGGGCGCGCCTTGCTCCGAGGGCGCGCCTTGGTTTGGGCGCGCGCCTTGGTCCGGGAGCGCGCCTTGGTCCGGGGGCGCGCCTTGGTCCGGGGGCGGGCCTTGGTCCGGGGGCGCGCCTTGGTCCGGGGGAGCGCCTTGGTCCGGGGGCGCGCCTTGGTCCGGGCGCGCGCCTTGGTCCGGGAGCGCGCCTTGGTCCGGGGGCGCGCCTTGGTCCGGGGGCGCGCCTTGGTCCGGGGGCGCACCTTGGTCCGGGGACGCGCATTGGTTCGGGCGCGCGCGCCTTGGTCCGGGCGCGCCTTGGTCCGGGCGTGCGCCTTGGTCCGGGCGCACGCCTTGGTCCAGGTGCGCGCCTTGGTCCGGGGGCGCGCCTTGGTCCTGGGGCGCGCCTTGGTCCGGGCGCTCGCCTTGGTCCGGGAGCGCGTCTTGGTCCGGGAGTGCGCCTTGGTCCGGGGGCGCGCCTTGGTCCGGGGGCGCGCATTGGTCCGGGCGCGCGCGCCTTGGTCCGGGGGCGCGCCTTGGTCCGAACGCGCGCCTTGGTCCGCGCGCGCGCCTTGGTCCGGGCGCGCGCGCCTTAGTCGAACGCGCGCCTTGGTCCGAACGCGCGCCTTGGTCCCGGATCGCGCCTTGATCCGGGGGCGCGCGCCTTGGTCCGGGCGCGCGCCTTGGTCCGGGAGCGCGCCTTGGTCCGCGCGCGCGCCTTGGTCCGGGGGCGCGCCTTGGTTCGGGCGCGCGCATTGGTCCGGGCGCGCGCGCCTTGGTCCGGGCGCGCGCGCCTTGGTCCGGACGCGCGCGCGCACCTTGGTCCAGGCGTGCGCGCCTTGGTCCGGAAGCGCGCCTTGGTCCGGGGGCGCGCCTTGGTCCGGGCGCGTGCCTTGGATCGGGGGCGCGCCTTGGTCCGAGCGCGCGCCTTGGTCCGCGCGAGCGCCTTGGTCCGGGCGCGCGCGCCTTCGTCCGGGGGCGCGCCTTGGTCCGGGGGAGCGCCTTGGTCCGGGCGCGCGCCTTGGTCCGGGCGCGCGCCTTGGTCCGGGAGCGCGCCTTGGTCTGGGGGCGCGCCTTGGTCCGGGGGCGCGCCTTGGTCCGGGCGCGCGCCTTGGTCCGGGGGCGCGCCTTGGTCCGGGCGCGCGCCTTGGTCCGGGCGCGCGCGCGTTGGTCCGGGTGCGCGCGCCTTGGTCCGGGCGCGTTCCTTGGTCCTGGGGCGCGCCTTGGTCCGAAGGCGCGCCTTGGTCCGGGGTCGCGCCTTGGACCGAGGGCGCGCCTTGGTCCGCGCGCGCTTTGGTCCGGGCGCGCGCCTTGGTCCAGGGGCGCGCCTTGGTCCGAACGCGCGCCTTGGTCCGGGATCGCGCCTTGGTCCGGGGGCGCGCGCCTTGGTCCGGGCGCGCGCCTTGGTCCGGGAGCGCGCCTTGGTCCGGGGGCGCGCCTTGGTCCGGGGGCGCGCCTTGGTCCGGGCGCTCGCCTTGGTCCGGGCGCGCGCGCGTTGGTCCGGCCGCGCGCGCCTTGGTCCGGACGCGCGCGCGCACCTTAGGCCAGGCGCGCGCGCCTTGGTCCGGAAGCGCGTCTTGGTCCGGGGGCGCGCCTTGGTCCGGGCGCGCGCCTTGGTTCGGGGGCGCGCCTTGGTCCGAGCGCGCGCCTTGGTCCGGGCGCGCGCCTTGGTCCGGGCGCGCGCCTTGGTCCGGGGGCGCGCCTTGGTCCGGGGGCGCGCCTTGGTCCGGGCGAGCGCCTTGGTCCGGGCGCGCGCCCCTTGGTCCGGGCGCGCGCGCCTTGGTCCAGGCGCGCGCGCGCACCTTGGTCCAGGCGCTCGCGCCTTGGTCCGGAAGCGCGCCTTGGTCCGGGGGCGCGCCTTGGTCCGGGCGCGCGCCTTGGTCCGTGGGCGCGCCTTGGTCCGAGCGCGCGCCTTGGTCCGCGCGCGCGCCTTGGTCCGGGGGCGCGCCTTGGTCCAGGGGAGCGCCTTGGTCCGGGGGCGCGCCTTGGTCCGGGCGCGCGCGCCTTGGTCCGGGCGCGCCTTGGTCCAGGGGCGCGCCTTGGTCCGGGGGTGCGCCTTGGTCCTGGGGCGCGCCTTGGTCCGGGCGGCGCCTTGGTCCGGGAGCGCGTCTTGGTCCGGGAGTGCGCCTTGGTCCGGGGGCGCGCCTTGGTCCGGGGGCGCGCCTTGGTCCGGGGGCGCGCCTTGGTCCGGGGGAGCGCCTTGGTCCGGGCGCGCGCCTTGGTCCGGGCGCGCGCCTTGGTCCGGGAGCGCGCCTTGGTCTGGGGGCGCGCCTTGGTCCGGGGGCGCGCCTTGGTCCGGGCGCGCGCCTTGGTCCGGGGGCGCGCCTTGGTCCGGGCGCGCACGCCTTGGTCCGGGCGCGCGCCTTGGTCCGGGAGCGCGCCTTGGTCCAGGAGAGCGCCTTGGTCCGGGGGCGCGCCTTGGTTCGGGGGCGCGCCTTAGTCCGGGCGCGCGCGCCTTGGTCCGGGCGCGCGCCTTGGTCCGGGCGCCCGCCTTGGTCCGGGAGCGCGCCTTGGTCCGGGAGCGCGCCTTGGTCCGGGGGCGCGCCTTGGTCCGGGCGCGCAGTGGTCCGCGTGCGCGCCTTGGTCCTCGCGCGCGCCTTGGTCCGCGCGCGCACCTTGGTCCGGGGGCGCGCCTTGGTCCGAAGGCGCGCCTTGGTCCGGGGGCGCGCCTTGGTCTGGGCGCGCGCGCCTCGGCCCGGGCGCGCGCCTTGGTCCTCGCGCGCGCCTTGGTCCGCGCGCGCGCCTTGGTCCGGGGGCGCGCCTTGGTCCGGGGGCGCGCCTTGGTCCGGGGGCGCGCCTTGGTCTGGGCGCGCGCGCCTTGGTCCGGGCGCGCGCCTTGGTCCGCGGGCGCGCCTTGGTCCGGGAGCGCGCTTTGGTCCGGGGGCGCCTTGGTTCGGGCGCGCGCCTTGGTCCGGGCGCGCGCCTTGATCCGGGCGCGCGCGCCTTGGTCCAGGCGCGCGCGCCTTGGTCCGGGGGCGCGCCTTGGTCCGGGCGCGTGCCTTGGTCCGGGGGCGCGCCTTGGTCCGGGGGCGCGCCTTGGTTCGGGCGCGCGCCTTGGTCCGAGCGAGCGCCTTGGTCCGGGCGCGCGCGCCTTGGTCCGGGCGCGCGCGCGCGCCTTGGTCCAGGCGCTCGCGCCTTGGTCCGGAAGCGCGCCTTGGTCCGGGGGCGCGCCTTGGTCCGGGCGCGCGCCTTGGTCCGGGGGCGCGCCTTGGTCCGAGCGCGCGCCTTGGTCCGAGCGCGCGCCTTGGTCCGCGCGCGCGCCTTTGTCCGGGCGCGCGCGCCTTGTTCCGGGGGCACGCCTTGGTCCGAGGGAGCGCCTTGGTCCGGGGGCGCGCCTTGGTCCGGGGGCGCGCCTTAGTCCGGGAGCGCGCCTTGGTCCGGGGGCGCGCCTTGGTCCGGGGGCGCGCCTTGGTCCGGGGGCGCGCCTTGGTCCGGGGGCGTGCATTGGTCCGGGCGCGCGCGCCTTGGTCCGGGCGCGCCTTGGTCCGGGGGCGCGCCTTGGTCCGGGCGCGCGCCTTGGTCCAGGGGCGCGCCTTGGTCCGGGGGCGCGCCTTGGTCCTGGGGCGCGCCTTGGTCCGGGCGCGCGCCTTGGTCCGGGAGCGCGTCTTGGTCCGGGAGTGCGCCTTGGTCCGGGGGCGCGCCTTGGTCCGGGGGCGCGCATTGGTCCGGGCGCGCGCGCCTTGGTCCGGGTACGCCTTGGTCTGGGCGCGCGCCTTGGTCCGGGCGCGCGCCTTGGTCCAGGGGCGCGCCTTGGTCCGGGGGCGCGCCTTGGTCCTCGGGCGCACCTTGGTCCGGGCGCACGCCTTGGTCCGGGAGCGCGCCTTGGTCCGGGGGCGCACCTTGGTTCGGGCGTGCGCCTTGGTCCGGGCGCGCGCGCGCACCTTGGTCAGGAAGCGCGCCTTGGTCCGGGGGCGCGCCTTGGTCCGAGCGCGCGCCTTGGTCCGAGCGCGCGCCTTGGTCCGCGCGCGCACCTTGGTCCGGGCGAGCGCCCCTTGGTCCGGGGGCGCGCCTTGGTCCGGGCGCGCGCCTTGGTCCGGGCGCGCGCCTTGGTCCGGGCGCGCGCCTTGGTTCGGGCGCGCGCGCGCGCGCCTTGGTCCGGGAGCGCACCTTGGTCCGGGGGCGCGCCTTGGTCCGGGGGCGCGCCTTGGTCCGGGCGCGCGCCTTGGTCCGGACGCGCGCCTTGATCCGGGCGCGCGCGCCTTGGTCCGGGCGCGCGCCTTGGTACGGGGTCGCGCCTTGGTCCGGGGTCGCGCCTTGGTCCGGGGTCGCGTCTTGGTCCGGGCGCGCGCGCCTTGGTCCGGGCGCGACTCGGTCCGGGCGCGCGCCTTGGTCCGGGCGCGCGCCTTGGTCCAGGGGCGCGCCTTGGTCTTGGGGCGCGCCTTGGTCCGGGCGCGCGCCTTGGTCCGGGAGCGCGTCTTGGTCCGGGGGCGCGCCTTGGTCCGGGCGCGCGCGCCTTGGTCCGGGCGCGCGCACCTTGGTCCGGGGGCGCGCCTTGGTCCGGGCGCGCGCCTTGGTCCGGGAGCGCGCCTTGGTCCGGGGGCGCGCCTTGGTCCGGGGGCGCGCCTTGGTCCGGGCGCGAGCGCCTTGGTTTGGGCGCGCGCGCCTTGGTCCGGGCGCGCGCCTTGGTCCGGGGGCGCGCCTTGGTCAGGGGGCGCGCCTTGGTCCGGGGGCGCGCATTGGTCCGGGGGCGCGCATTGGTCTGGGCGCGCGCGCCTTGGTCCGGGCGCGCCTTGGTCCGGGCGCGCGCCTTGGTCCGGGTGCGCGCCTTGGTCCGGGGGCGCGCCTTGGTCCTGGGGCGCGCGTTGGTCCGGGCGCGCGCCTTGGTCCGGGAGCGCGTCTTGGTCCGGGAGTGCGCCTTGGTCCGGGGGCGCGCCTTGCTCCGAGGGCGCGCCTTGGTTTGGGCGCGCGCCTTGGTCCGGGAGCGCGCCTTGGTCCGGGGGCGCGCCTTGGTCCGGGGGCGGGCCTTGGTCCGGGGGCGCGCCTTGGTCCGGGGGAGCGCCTTGGTCCGGGGGCGCGCCTTGGTCCGGGCGCGCGCCTTGGTCCGGGAGCGCGCCTTGGTCCGGGGGCGCGCCTTGGTCCGGGGGCGCGCCTTGGTCCGGGGGCGCACCTTGGTCCGGGGACGCGCATTGGTTCGGGCGCGCGCGCCTTGGTCCGGGCGCGCCTTGGTCCGGGCGTGCGCCTTGGTCCGGGCGCACGCCTTGGTCCAGGGGCGCGCCTTGGTCCGGGGGCGCGCCTTGGTCCTGGGGCGCGCCTTGGTCCGGGCGCTCGCCTTGGTCCGGGAGCGCGTCTTGGTCCGGGAGTGCGCCTTGGTCCGGGGGCGCGCCTTGGTCCGGGGGCGCGCATTGGTCCGGGCGCGCGCGCCTTGGTCCGGGGGCGCGCCTTGGTCCGAACGCGCGCCTTGGTCCGCGCGCGCGCCTTGGTCCGGGCGCGCGCGCCTTAGTCGAACGCGCGCCTTGGTCCGAACGCGCGCCTTGGTCCCGGATCGCGCCTTGATCCGGGGGCGCGCGCCTTGGTCCGGGCGCGCGCCTTGGTCCGGGGGCGCGCATTGGTCCGGGGGCGCGCATTGGTCCGGGGGCGCGCATTGGTCTGGGCGCGCGCGCCTTGGTCCGGGCGCGCCTTGGTCCGGGCGCGCGCCTTGGTCCGGGTGCGCGCCTTGGTCCGGGGGCGCGCCTTGGTCCTGGGGCGCGCGTTGGTCCGGGCGCGCGCCTTGGTCCGGGAGCGCGTCTTGGTCCGGGAGTGCGCCTTGGTCCGGGGGCGCGCCTTGCTCCGAGGGCGCGCCTTGGTTTGGGCGCGCGCCTTGGTCCGGGAGCGCGCCTTGGTCCGGGGGCGCGCCTTGGTCCGGGGGCGGGCCTTGGTCCGGGGGCGCGCCTTGGTCCGGGGGAGCGCCTTGGTCCGGGGGCGCGCCTTGGTCCGGGCGCGCGCCTTGGTCCGGGAGCGCGCCTTGGTCCGGGGGCGCGCCTTGGTCCGGGGGCGCGCCTTGGTCCGGGGGCGCACCTTGGTCCGGGGACGCGCATTGGTTCGGGCGCGCGCGCCTTGGTCCGGGCGCGCCTTGGTCCGGGCGTGCGCCTTGGTCCGGGCGCACGCCTTGGTCCAGGGGCGCGCCTTGGTCCGGGGGCGCGCCTTGGTCCTGGGGCGCGCCTTGGTCCGGGCGCTCGCCTTGGTCCGGGAGCGCGTCTTGGTCCGGGAGTGCGCCTTGGTCCGGGGGCGCGCCTTGGTCCGGGGGCGCGCATTGGTCCGGGCGCGCGCGCCTTGGTCCGGGGGCGCGCCTTGGTCCGAACGCGCGCCTTGGTCCGCGCGCGCGCCTTGGTCCGGGCGCGCGCGCCTTAGTCGAACGCGCGCCTTGGTCCGAACGCGCGCCTTGGTCCCGGATCGCGCCTTGATCCGGGGGCGCGCGCCTTGGTCCGGGCGCGCGCCTTGGTCCGGGAGCGCGCCTTGGTCCGCGCGCGCGCCTTGGTCCGGGGGCGCGCCTTGGTTCGGGCGCGCGCATTGGTCCGGGCGCGCGCGCCTTGGTCCGGGCGCGCGCGCCTTGGTCCGGACGCGCGCGCGCACCTTGGTCCAGGCGCGCGCGCCTTGGTCCGGAAGCGCGCCTTGGTCCGGGGGCGCGCCTTGGTCCGGGCGCGTGCCTTGGATCGGGGGCGCGCCTTGGTCCGAGCGCGCGCCTTGGTCCGCGCGAGCGCCTTGGTCCGGGCGCGCGCGCCTTGGTCCGGGGGCGCGCCTTGGTCCGGGGGAGCGCCTTGGTCCGGGCGCGCGCCTTGGTCCGGGCGCGCGCCTTGGTCCGGGAGCGCGCCTTGGTCTGGGGGCGCGCCTTGGTCCGGGGGCGCGCCTTGGTCCGGGCGCGCGCCTTGGTCCGGGGGCGCGCCTTGGTCCGGGCGCGCGCCTTGGTCCGGGCGCGCGCGCGCGTTGGTCCGGGTGCGCGCGCCTTGGTCCGGGCGCGTTCCTTGGTCCTGGGGCGCGCCTTGGTCCGAAGGCGCGCCTTGGTCCGGGGTCGCGCCTTGGACCGGGGGCGCGCCTTGGTCCGCGCGCGCTTTGGTCCGGGCGCGCGCCTTGGTCCAGGGGCGCGCCTTGGTCCGAACGCGCGCCTTGGTCCGGGATCGCGCCTTGGTCCGGGGGCGCGCGCCTTGGTCCGGGAGCGCGCCTTGGTCCGGGGGCGCGCCTTGGTCCGGGGGCGCGCCTTGGTCCGGGCGCTCGCCTTGGTCCGGGCGCGCGCGCGTTGGTCCGGCCGCGCGCGCCTTGGTCCGGACGCGCGCGCGCACCTTAGGCCAGGCGCGCGCGCCTTGGTCCGGAAGCGCGTCTTGGTCCGGGGGCGCGCCTTGGTCCGGGCGCGCGCCTTGGTTCGGGGGCGCGCCTTGGTCCGAGCGCGCGCCTTGGTCCGAGCGCGCGCCTTGGTCCGGGCGCGCGCCTTGGTCCGGGCGCGCGCCTTGGTCCGGGGGCGCGCCTTGGTCCGGGGGCGCGCCTTGGTCCGGGCGAGCGCCTTGGTCCGGGCGCGCGCCCCTTGGTCCGGGCGCGCGCGCCTTGGTCCAGGCGCGCGCGCGCACCTTGGTCCAGGCGCTCGCGCCTTGGTCCGGAAGCGCGCCTTGGTCCGGGGGCGCGCCTTGGTCCGGGCGCGCGCCTTGTTCCGGGGGCGCGCCTTGGTCCGAGCGCGCGCCTTGGTCCGCGCGCGCGCCTTGGTCCGGGGGCGCGCCTTGGTCCAGGGGAGCGCCTTGGTCCGGGGGCGCGCCTTGGTCCGGGCGCGCGCGCCTTGGTCCGGGCGCGCCTTGGTCCAGGGGCGCGCCTTGGTCCGGGGGTGCGCCTTGGTCCTGGGGCGCGCCTTGGTCCGGGCGGCGCCTTGGTCCGGGAGCGCGTCTTGGTCCGGGAGTGCGCCTTGGTCCGGGGGCGCGCCTTGGTCCGGGGGCGCGCCTTGGTCCGGGGGCGCGCCTTGGTCCGGGGGAGCGCCTTGGTCCGGGCGCGCGCCTTGGTCCGGGCGCGCGCCTTGGTCCGGGAGCGCGCCTTGGTCTGGGGGCGCGCCTTGGTCCGGGGGCGCGCCTTGGTCCGGGCGCGCGCCTTGGTCCGGGGGCGCGCCTTGGTCCGGGCGCGCACGCCTTGGTCCGGGCGCGCGCCTTGGTCCGGGAGCGCGCCTTGGTCCAGGAGAGCGCCTTGGTCCGGGGGCGCGCCTTGGTTCGGGGGCGCGCCTTGGTCCGGGCGCGCGCGCCTTGGTCCGGGCGCGCGCCTTGGTCCGGGCGCCCGCCTTGGTCCGGGAGCGCGCCTTGGTCCGGGAGCGCGCCTTGGTCCGGGGGCGCGCCTTGGTCCGGGCGCGCAGTGGTCCGCGTGCGCGCCTTGGTCCTCGCGCGCGCCTTGGTCCGCGCGCGCACCTTGGTCCGGGGGCGCGCCTTGGTCCGAAGGCGCGCCTTCGTCCGGGGGCGCGCCTTGGTCTGGGCGCGCGCGCCTCGGCCCGGGCGCGCGCCTTGGTCCTCGCGCGCGCCTTGGTCCGCGCGCGCGCCCTGGTCCGGGGGCGCGCCTTGGTCCGGGGGCGCGCCTTGGTCCGGGGGCGCGCCTTGGTCCGGGGGCGCGCCTTGGTCTGGGCGCGCGCGCCTTGGTCCGGGCGCGCGCCTTGGTCTGCGGGCGCGCCTTGGTCCGGGAGCGCGCTTTGGTCCGGGGGCGCCTTGGTTCGGGCGCGCGCCTTGGTCCGGGCGCGCGCCTTGATCCGGGCGCGCGCGCCTTGGTCCAGGCGCGCGCGCCTTGGTCCGGGGGCGCGCCTTGGTCCGGGGGCGCGCCTTGGTCCGGGAGCGCGCCTTGGTCCGGGCGCGCGCCTTGGTCCGGGGGCGCGCCTTGGTCCGGGGGCGCGCCTTGGTCCGGGAGCGCGCCTTGGTCCGGGGGCGCGCCTTGGTCCGGGGGCGCGCCTTGGTCCGGGCGCGCGCCTTGGTCCGCGCGCGCGCCTTGCCTCGCATCGAGTTGTGACCTGGTTTCCTTGCGCTGCTCTCGCTCGTCCCTGTCCTCTTCGCCCCCTGTGCTCTCAATCATTCTTGCTCTTTGCTTTGCAGCAAGGGATCGCCGGCAAACGCAGGAGATGGTTACACCAGCATCGTCTGGGCAAAGAATGGCTGCTGCATCTGATGCAAGATTTGCACAGGCAGTTGCTGGGGGGGCGTTGGAGGGTGTACAGCCAAGCAGGGTGGTGGCGGTTAGGGCTGTGGCTGTAGCGAATGCAGTGGGGGAGGGTGGACATCGGAGCAGCAGAAGCAGTAGTGACACCAATGCTGCGTTTGCCGGTCCCACCTGGTCCCACCTGGTCTCACCTGGTCTCACCTGGTCTCACCTGGTCCCACCTGGTCTCACCTGGTCTCACCTGGTTACACCTCGTCACACCTGGTCACACCTGGTCACACCTGGTCACACCTGGTCTCACCTGGTCACACCTGGTCTCACCTGGTCACACCTGGTCCCACCTGGTCACACCTGGTTACACCTGGTCACACCTGGTCCCACCTGGTCACACCTGGTCCCACCTGGTCACACCTGGTCTCACCTGGTCACACCTGGTCTCACCTGGTCCCACCTGGTCTCACCTGGTCTCACCTGGTTACACCTCGTCACACCTGGTCACACCTGGTCACACCTGGTCACACCTGGTCTCACCTGGTCACACCTGGTCTCACTTGGTCTCACCTGGTCACACCTCGTCACACCTGGTCACACCTGGTCACACCTGGTCACACCTGGTCCCACCTGGTCACACCTGGTCACACCCGGTCTCACCTGGTCACACCTGGTCCCACCTGGTCTCACCTGGTCTCACCTGGTCTCACCTGGTCTCACCTGGTCTCACCTGGTCCCACCTGGTCTCACCTGGTCTCACCTGGTTACACCTCGTCACACCTGGTCACACCTGGTCACACCTGGTCACACCTGGTCTCACCTGGTCACACCTGGTCTCACTTGGTCTCACCTGGTCACACCTCGTCACACCTGGTCACACCTGGTCACACCTGGTCACACCTGGTCCCACCTGGTCACACCTGGTCACACCCGGTCTCACCTGGTCACACCTGGTCCCACCTGGTCTCACCTGGTCTCACCTGGTCTCACCTGGTCTCACCTGGTCCCACCTGGTCCCACCTGGTCCCACCTGGTCACACCTGGTCCCACCTGGTCTCACCTGGTCCCACCTGGTCACACCTGGTCTCACCTGGTCACACCTGGTCTCACCTGGTCCCACCTGGTCTCACCTGGTCTCACCTGGTTACACCTCGTCACACCTGGTCACACCTGGTCACACCTGGTCACACCTGGTCTCACCTGGTCACACCTGGTCTCACTTGGTCTCACCTGGTCACACCTCGTCACACCTGGTCACACCTGGTCACACCTGGTCACACCTGGTCCCACCTGGTCACACCTGGTCACACCCGGTCTCACCTGGTCACACCTGGTCCCACCTGGTCTCACCTGGTCTCACCTGGTCTCACCTGGTCTCACCTGGTCCCACCTGGTCCCACCTGGTCCCACCTGGTCACACCTGGTCCCACCTGGTCTCACCTGGTCACACCTGGTCTCACCTGGTCTCACCTGGTCTCACCTGGTCTCACCTGGTCCCACCTGGTCCCACCTGGTCTCACCTGGTCTCACCTGGTCCCACCTGGTCCCACCTGGTCCCACCTGGTCCCACCTGGTCCCACCTGGTCCCACCTGGTCCCACCTGGTCCCACCTGGTCTCACCTGGTCACACCTGGTCACACCTGGTCACACCTGGTCACACCTGGTCACACCTGGTCACACCTGGTCCCACCTAGTCTCATGGTTACCACGTCCCTCTCACCTGCTCAAATGCCCGGGCGTAAAGGGGCAGGGCGGCGTGCGCAGAGAAGATCCCTGCGCAGCCACATGTCGCCTCCTTAGTGGTGCGCTCGTGCGGCGCGCTGTCTGTGCCGAGAAAGAAACGAGTGCTGCCGCCCGTCACCGCTGCTACAATGGCCTGACCTGGTACGGGGGAAGGACGAAGGAGGGAGGAGGAGGAAGGAGGAAGGAGGAAGGAGGAAGGAGGAAGGAGGACGGAGGGAGGAGGAGAACACGTATGTAGGAACGCACTCGAGGAAAAGAAAGAAAGAAAGAAAGAAAGAAAGAAAGAAAGAAAGAAAGAAAGAAAGAAAGAAAATAAGGGAACCACCTGTGACTGTCTCTCGTCTCTCTTTGATCAGCATGGGAGTCTCATCTTTTTCACCACCTCTCATGAAACAACGGGACTCACGGTGTGTCTCTCGCTTGAGCAAGGGTAAGCAGAAGTGGTGGGGGCGAATCCCCCCAGTGACCAGCGCATCGCTTGCGGTTCCACAGCAGGTGCTGCGGCGTGTCTCTCTCGTTCACACTTTGGTCTGGGGCCGTGTACTCCAGTGGTTCTCCCTTCTGCCAACGAGGTACAAAGGGACTCACGGTGTGTCTCTCGCTTGAGCACAGGCAAGCAGAAGTGGTGCGGGCTAATACCCCCCGTGAACAGCGCATTGCGGTTCCACAGCAGGTGCTGCGGCGTCACTGTAGCAGCCACCCGCCCCTCAGGTGCTTTCAACACAAACTCGACCGCATCTGCGGTGGTGACGTGCTCGAGGACGACTCGCAGGGTGGGCAGGCGGGCCAGCAGGGGCGAGAGCACTCGATGAATGAATTCCTTCTCGCGGTCAAACATGTCTACTGATGGATCCACCACCTCCCCGTGCAGCTGAGAGACAGGGGAGGGGAGGAAAGGAAAGGGTAGACTGAGGGTGGTGACGTGCTCGAGAACCACTCGCAGGGTGGGCACGCGGGCTAGCAGAGGCGAGAGGACTTTATGGATGAATTCCTTCTCGCTGTCAAACATGTCTACTGATGGGTCCACCACCTCCCCGTGCAGCTGAGAGGGTGAGAGGGAGGCGAACGGAGGGAGGGGGCAACGTAGGGGGAGGGGGCAACGTAGGGGGAAGGGGGCAAGGAAGGTGTATTGGCAGGCGGGCTTCCCCCTTCTACACTCAAAACTACGACATACCACCCTCACCCTGCCCCCTCCCACACTCAACGCACCAACAGCGGCATGCCAATGTGCGACATGTGCTGAATGGCCGGGAAGCAGCGGCCAAAGAGGTCCGTCACTCCCGCTGCTGAGTTGGTCGTTGCTCCCGCGGGGTAGAGCTTGAACGCCACCACTAGTCCCCCGTCCTCTGGATGAGAAATCAGTGTCGGGGGGTTGCGCAGCGGAGAGAAGGAAGGGGCACAGCATTACTGCTTTGCTCCCGCGGGGTACAGCTTGAACGCCACCACTAGTCCCCCGTCCTCTGATGGGGGGTTGAGAAAGGGGGGAGAGAGAGGGGAAGGGAGGGAGCATTGACAACGAGCGCTGTGATGGTCTGTCCGTCACCCCCGCTGCTGAGTTGGTAGTGGCCCCCGCGGGGTACAGCTTGAACGCCACCACTAGGCCTCCGTCCTCTGTTAGGGAAATCAGTGTTGGGGGAGGAGCGGGGAGAGTGGGAAGGGGCACAGCGTTACTGATTTGCTCCCGCGGGGTACAGCTTGAACGCCACCACTAGGCCTCCGTCCTCTGTTAGGGAAATCAGTGTTGGGGGAGGAGCGGGGAGAGTGGGAAGGGGCACAGCGTTACTGATTTGCTCCCGCGGGGTACAGCTTGAACGCCACCACTAGGCCCCCGTCCTCTGTTGAGGCACAGAGCAGGATACAGGAGGGAATGCGGGAGAGGGGGAGCATTGTCAGCGGGAGCAGTGATGGCGGGGGTCACCCCCGCTGCTGAGTTGGTCATTGCTCCCGCTGGGTACGGCTTGAACGCCAGCACTAGGCCTCCGTCCTCTGGACGGGCGGTTGGGCAGTTGAGCAGGGAAAACAGATGGGCATTGATAAGTCATTTGGTGAGAGTTGAGAGTTGAGAACCTGGCATGGCTTCAGCGGGGTATGTACAGCTTGTAAGCTGCCACCACGCCATGCCTCCGTTCTCTGTCGGGGGATTGAGAGGCAGCACGATCAAGAGAAGGGGCAGTGCAAGCAAAGGGAACACAGTGTGGTGTGGTGTGGTGTGGAGAGGTGTGGTGACATCTGTGGGATAAAGCCTCCCCTCGCCACTGTTCTCCTTTCCCCGCACACCTATCCCGAACCACTCACTCGCTTTCTGCACTTCCTCCGACGTGGTGTCATCTGTAAGGTAGAGAGTCATCAGCGGCTTAAAGCCCTCCTCCCCTCGCTTCCCTCTCTTTCCCTTTCCTCTGACACTCCCAGCACACTCACTTGCTTTTTGCACTTCCTCCGGTGTGGTGTCATCTGTAAGGTAAAGCGACATGAGCGGCTTAAAGCCCGCCTCCCCTCGCCTCCCACTCTTCTCCTTTCCTCTCACGCTCCCAACACACTCACTTGCTCTCTGCACCTCCTCTGGTGTGGTGTCGTCTGTGAGATAGAGCGTCATGAGCGGCTTAAAGCCCGCCTCCCCTCGCCTCCCCTCTGGCACCGCTGCCAGCACCCGCTCGCGGTACTCTGCTGCTGCCAGTGTGGTGGTGACCGGTGGGCGCAGGTTGGGCATGATTACTGCTCGGTGGAAGACAGCCGCGCTGCGGGGAAGGGGGTAGGGGGGAAGGTGGGGGAGAGGGGAAGAGGAGGGGAAGAGAAGGGGAAGAGGGGGAAGGATGGAGGAAGGGTGGAGAAAGGGGGAGAGAGGGGAAGAAATGGGGAGCAGGGGGGGGGGATGAGGGGGAACAAGAGGGGAAGAGAGGAGGGGGATGGTGTGCATGCATTGTGCATGCGATTCTCCGAAACGAAGACAAACACCTGGCACCTGAAGTTCTACCTGAGATTTCACCTGAGCTCTCACCTGAACGGCACAACGGATTGCAGGGCAGCGCCATCCCGCACGTGCAGGTGCCAGTCGTCGGGCTGCGTTATCTCTAGCCGCTCCACCGCCGCAGAATCCGCCGCCGATTGCGCTCGCACCGCCGCCATAGATTGCTTACGCCCTATGGAAGAGAATCCTTGGCTTGAGCGGCGGGAGACGAGGCGGGTGGTTCGAGAACGGCTGTCAGAGGAAGGGAAATATTCGCACAGTGAGAACGCTCGGCGAAGCGCATTGGTGTGCAAGTGACCAGAAAACGAAACGAGGCGAGAGGGGGTTACGTTGCGTCGCGAGAGCGAGGACTGAGGGTTCGGGGTTTGGAGGAGGAGTTTGGTTGCGGGAGGCGCGGAGATCGCGCACGCCATAGGAGCGGATTAAAAGCTAGTTATTGTTCGCCGCACGCCCTAGTATGCTGCGAGCGATTGGCTCTTTGCAATCCGTTCGTAGAATTTTGGGCTGACAAAGGCGGGGACGGTTGTGCGAAACCAACTGATCCGAATGCGACGATGTGATATGGGATACGAGTATTTGAGCTTTGAAAAATACTGGACTTGAGTTTTCTAGTGAAATTGCTATGGCGAATCATTGGCGGATAGAGTTGCCTGTATGGCGTATACACCTAGTCCGCGGTATTTTAACCGCCGCTATCGTAACCGCGCGAGGGTACTTCTCCTTGGTCAAACTTGTTTAAACGAGTAGTTTGAAAATTAATGAGGGTAGAATCTAGCATCCCCGTCGCGAGATCACGGCAGTTAGAACTCTGCCAATACCGATATGCCCCCTATCTCGGACCACTAAGTGTGCGTTTCTTCAGACGGAAAGGCATCCCGCTGTAAAATAATAACCTCGAAGTCTCTGGGTGCCCATCTCATTACCCAAAAACGAATAAAGGGTGTTTGAAACAAAACAGTTCACGTGGTTAAAATACCGCGGACTAGGTGTACTTGAGATTCACCTGCGTTTCGCCTGAACTACAATCCACCTGCTTCAGCTGTACCTGCTGACGTGGATATCTGCTGTTCACGGTTCACCTGCACCTGCCTGCTGTTCAGAATTTGCTGCATGAACACTGTCGCGAGTTTCGTCAAAAGATCCAACGTGGGTTGTCTGCTTTCGCCATAACCATTCAATCGCCGCCACACGCACCCCCCTTCCAACCTAGACTTGTCTGGTCGGAGTTGACAAACAGCGCAGCAACTCAACTGGTCACGGTGTCTTCTCGAATCGCATCGTGTGCCAGGAAATGCCCAACTGGTCACTCGATTTTTTTATGTGATGCAAAGTGGTCATTGTAGCAAACTCCGTGGTTTTGTGCGTTCCAGTGAGTTAATCTGGTGTAATCGTACTGTAACTGCACCAGAATGCAATGCGGAATGCACTACTGTATCCAGCACGAGGACAGCTACAAGCGGGGAAAGCCCCACCTCCCCCACCTCAGGGCAATGGCAACACCTCCGTCTTCCCTCCGTTGCTCTTCCCGTCTCACGTCGCTTTCTCCCCTTTTCCTAACTCCAACATTCTAGCCATCAAACACGTTAGCTAACTCGCTCTGGTTTTCAGAACAGCTTCGTGTCCGAACAAGATTAGTTGCGGTCGCGAGGGCCTAGCTTAGTGGGTAGCATTCAATTGCCGCGAAGATCCACGCCACAGGAGAATGCGCACAGCCCTGCACGGGTGAATAGCATGTCAAGGGCCAGAATGGGGCTTAGAAGTGTACGGCTAGCGAGATCATTTGCGATAGCGCCGCTGCTGGCGACGCTTGCGATGCTCGCGATGCTGGTAACTGGAGCTGCGGCGCTGGATGCATGTCCTGACGACGATTCTCTGGTGCGTATTGCGCCGCTGCGGGATGCTGGGAGTAGCTGTTGATGCCAATGTTCGCGCGCTCTGCTCTCCTCTGCTTTGCTCCGAATACATTTCGTGCGCGCGACAACCGACGAGTGCATGTGAGACACGCAGGAGTTCGAAGCCTCAAAGAAACGATCCGAAACTCCCCTTCCCCCTCTCCCTGCACCTTTCGCTGCCTTACGTCGCAGTTCGTGTGCGCGACGACCGACGAGTGCATAAGCGACACGCAGGTTTGCGACGGCGCGCCCAACTGCAGCGACGCGGACGCGCCTTCCGACGAGGACTCCGCGTTCTGCGCGACCTGGGAGTGCCCCAGTGGGTGGAGCAAGTGCGACGATGGCTTGCAGTGCTACGAGGAGAGTCGCATGTGCGACGGCACGCGCGACTGTAACGATGGGAGCGACGAGGAGGGTTGCAATGCGGGTGATACGACTCCTGTTACGGGAACGCCTCAAACAGGAACACCTGATACGGGAACAACTGATACGGGAACGACTGATACGGGAACGACTGATTCGGGAACGGCTGATTCTGGGACGGCTGATTCTGGGACGGCTGATTCAGGGACGGCTGATTCGGGGACGGCTGATTCGGGGACGGCTGGTACGGGAACGACTGATTCGGGAACGGCTGATTCTGGGACGGCTGATTCGGGGACGGCTGATTCGGGGACGGCTGATTCGGGGGCGACTGACTCGGGGACGACTGATACGGGAACGGATGATGCGGGAACAGATGATACTGGAACGACTGATACAGGAACGGATGATACGGGAACGACTGATACGGGAACGACTGATACGGGAACGGATGATACGGGAACAGGTGATACGGTAACGGATAATACGGGAACGGATAATACGGGAACGGATGATACAGCAGCACCAGGTGATGAAACTGAAACTGGCGAAGCAACATCGACGGACGGAAGCATTCCGGCAGATGAAACTCCTCCTGGAGATGCAACCGAAAATACAGGAGATGTAACTCCACCTCCGCCGGCGAACGAAGACACGACTCCCCCAGGAGATGTAACTCCACCTCCGCCGCCAGCTGACGTGGACAATCCAGGTGGAGATGAAACCTCTGGTGGTTCTCCACCAGGTGATTCGTCAGGGTCAGGGGACGGTTCACAGGAACCGTCGGAAGGAGGAGCAGGGGAAGGGGGAGAGGGAGGGAGTGAGGGGGGAGGCGGAGAGGAGGGGGGCAGTGGGGAGGCAGGGGGGAGTGTAGGGGAGGGGGGAAGCGGAGAGGGGGGAGCAAGCGGAGAGGATGGAGGGAGTGGAGGGGAGGGGGGAAGTGGAGAGGAAGGGGGTGAGGGAGGAGGGGGGAGTGGAGAAGGAGACGGGGAGGGAAATGACACAGAACAGGGCGGTGATGGGGGGGAGAACGATGGCTCAGGAGATGAAGATTCAGGTGAATCTGAAGAAGAACCTGAGACGCCACCTCCCCCACCTCCACCTGAGAAGCAGTTGTCTCCCCTGGAGCAGAAAAAGCGGGAGTATCAAAAGGCCGCTCAGGCAGCAGAGACTGCAAAGGCCGATGCTGAAAAGGCGAATGCGATTGCCCAGCAGAGGGAGAAAGACGCAGACGCAGCTCAAGCACGGGCAGATAAAAAAGCGAGAGATGCCAAAAGTTCTCGGGGTGGAGCGAGCGGGAAGAAGAAGCGCGAGGAGGCGAAGCAAGCGCAGAAAGAGGCCGACGCTGCGAGGGCTAGAGCAGACCAGGCGAAAGAGGAGGCAGATGGGAAGGAGGAAGCGGCTGGGGAGGCTACTAACGCAGTGGAGGAGAAGCGGCAGGAGCTTGTAGATGAAGCAGAGAGGAGCAAACCTGAGCTAGAAGATAAGAAGAAGCGGGGGACGGCCCGGAAGAATGCGGCTCGGGCCGAGCGCGACGCAGCCAAGGAGAAAAAGGAGGCGAAGAAGAGAACGTTCAGAGAGAGGGTGGCTGCGGCGCGGCTCGCCCAGATGGCTGAGAAGGCCAGTGCTGCCGCGGCTGCAGCTGCAGAGAAGCAGGCAGCGGCGGATAAAGCCATGGAGGCTAAGCAACAGGCGGATGCTGAGGTGGATCGGCTGGTTTTAGCTAAGAGTCAGGCGGAGGGGGAGGCGAGAGAGGCAGGGGAAGCGCAGGCTGCAGCGGAGGCGGCGGCGCGGGAGGCGGTGGACGCCGGTGATGAGAGGTTGAGTGCGGTGAAGTGGGCGGAAGCCGCGGATGCGCTGGGGCTGAAGTGGGTGAAGCAGACGGAGGTGGAGAGAGTGAAGAGGGAGTTGGTTGCTGCTAAGGCGGCAGCCAAGCTAGCTGCCAAGGAGGCTACAGTGAGGCAGCAGGCGGCTGCTCGGGCGGCGAGTGAGGCGCAGAAAGTGGGCGGCAAAGTGGGTGGGGGTGGGGAGGGTGGTGGTGGCACTGGTGGTGGTGGTGATGCTGGTGGTGATGATAGTGGTGCTGATGGTGGTGGTGATGGTGGTGGGTCTACTGATCCAGGAGGTGACACAAACGAGGGTGGGTCTAGTGACACAAGCAGTGGTACCAGTGCAGGATTGTCAAAACAAAGTGTAGGGGTTAAAGTGGCCTTTAGTGATGGTGTTGTTGGGAGTGGTGGTGGCAACAAAGGGGGTAACACAAGAAACAGAAAGGTGGATGTGGGGGGCTGATAATAGCAACTTGAACTGAATATATTGTTATTTTGCTTAATGTAATGGTATAAGTTTGTACAGTGTGCATCTTGGCCTGGTGCTGACCTGATACTAAGATGGTGAATGTTGAAGGAACATACAATTATAACAGTGAAGAGGTAAAATCAATTACTGTAGTACAGCGCCGTATGCTCATAGTATAGCCGCAACTTCACTATCCTGTCCCGCGCTATTCACGATATAAGCTGACGCCTGGTAGGTACCGTAGCGTGTGCTTCGGGACGGGAACCATAACCCTGGTGAAGCATTCGCTCATTGGCTCTCTCGAGTCCATAGTCGCACGGTACTCACGAAGTGGGGCACAAGGTGACGCCGTCGCCAGGGAGTGGAAGGGTCAGGGAGAATCCTGCACTGCACACATCGTGCATCGCGCGAATCGCTTTCGCTTGATTACACCGCAATCCGACGCGCATCGCGCATCGCATCGCCAACGGGGTGGGTGGGTGGGTGAGGGAGTGGGGGAGTGGGGGGGTGGGGTGGGTCGGGGGAGGTGAGAGAGAGGGGTAATCCTTCTGGTCCTGAGCGAATAGAGCAGTCAGAACCCTGGGCAAGCAGGGGGGAAACAGGGCGAGGCTATGCTAGAATCTCGGAAGGTGTGTGAGCGGGTGGGTCAAGGGAGGTGAGAGAGAGGGTAATCTCTCTGGTAGTGAGCAGCAAGAGCAGCTGGAACGGTGGGCAAGCAGGGAGGAAACAGGGCGAGAGGCTGTTGAAGGGGTTGGGAGGGAATACTCTCTTTTATCTGTTCCTGGAAGGAAGGAACAGATTGCGCGAGGCCGCTGAAAGGAAGGGAGATAACGGGTGTATGAAGGGGAGCGGATGGAGGGAAGTGAGACGGGCGCGGGGAAGTGGAATGGGATGGAGGGAAGTGAGATGGGCGCGGGGAAGTGGGATGGGATGGGATAAGTGAAGAGAACCGGGGGAAATGAGAAGGAAGAGAGAGGGGAAGGGGCGAGGGGAGCAGCGGGAGGACAGTGGGTGGGGGCAGCGGGAGGTCAGAGTGGGAGTGGAAATAGAGTAAGTGGGTATGCATAGGGAGCTGGTAAGTTGGGATGGGTGGGTGATGATGATGGGGAATGCGGGGTGAGGGACGGGGGGAGTGAGAGGTGAAAGATGGGGGGGGGAGTGAGAGGTGACAGACGGAGTGGGGGGAGTGAGAGGTGACAGACCGGGGGGGAGTGAGAGGTGACAGACGGGGGGGAAATCGTTATGAGCAACGAGGGGCGGAATGATGGGTAATCGGAAGGGGGGAATGAGGGGTGAGCAGAAGAGGGGAACGTTTTGAGACGTCTAAAAACACTTCTATTATCGGGTGCGCGAATTCGGGAAATGAGGGGCGAGGGAAAGGGGGAATGCGGGGTGCGCAACGGGGGGAACGGGAGGGATCGACGGGTGAATGACGGGGGAAATGGATGGTGAGTGGAAAGGGGGAAATGAAGGTTGAGTGACGGGGGGGATGGGGGGTGAGCGATAGCAGAGAAATGAGGGTGAGTAAATGGGAAAACAAGGGGTGAGTGAAAGGGGGGGAAATGAGAGGGAAGCGAAGGGGGGAAACGAGGGGGAAAGAGACGGGGAATGTGAGGTACTGAGGGCGAGCGATGGAGCGAACTGAGGGGTGAGCGACGGGGGGAAACGAGTGAAGAGCGACGGGGGGAAACGAGGGGGTAGCGACGAGGAATACGAGGTAAGCGAGGGGGGATGCGGGGTGAGCGAAAAGGAAATGCGAGGTAAGTGACGGGGGAAGCATCTGGCTGATGAGTGACGAAGCGTAAACGACTGGAAAGCGCGAGATGCGAGATGAGCAATGAGGGGTGGGCGCAACAGGCGCAATGAGAGGAAAATCGGAACGAGGGAGATTAGGAAATGCGTTGAGGGGTGAGCCGCGGGGGGATAAGGGATGAGCGGAGGGAAAGACGGAGTGTGAGGGAGAGTTCGAACCCAAAAGCCCTCCCCCGGCGAGATGCCGCCGAGGACATCCCTCCGAAACCCTAGCTGCCTGGCGATGTGGCGAGAGGGCGTGGGCGGAGGGAGGGAGGGGAATCTGGCGAAAGCGGATGAACGAAGTCTGATCGTGCTCCTCCGAAATTACGGCGTAGAGACGTACGCCACGCGCGCGCGTCACTAGCGCGAATCATTGGAGCCAGCGCGTGTCGCGGAAACATAGGGATGCGCGCGCTGTATATTGAGGTACGAAATTTCTCTTGTAACGGCTAACAACGCAATCCCTCAAGAATAGAGCTGCTTCGCGAAGGCTCGGTTGTACGAAATCGGCATCAAACTAATCGCGATTTTTACGGAATAAATAGTAAGCAGCACCTGGCAGATACTTCCTACCCTTCACGACGCCACTACTCGCTGAGGCGGAACGCTAAATGACATATGGCGGAACTGGCTAACTACGATCAAGGAGAGAAAGGCGATACAAGGAGTTGGCAGCAACTAGATCTGAGCAGGTGGTGGTGTACCAACCATACCAACCAACCGAAACACCATCCCCTGCTGCCCGAAATTTCTATCCCTCGATTTCCTTTCCTTCCCCTCCTGGATTTTGACTGGGCCTCGCAATCTTCTCCAACCCAACCCCTTCCTCTACACCTGCCCAGAAACTGATTTGACACAGCAGGATAGATTACAACCAATCAAGTCTCTTTTTTTCCCTCATGCCGTCCCGCACCTCACGCGAAAGGTTCAGCCTAGACTCTAAACTACTAACACCTCAACCAAGCATGACCTGCCCGTGACGTCGAACCTGGTGAGTCTAGAATGGTCCCAATAAAATTAGTCAAGTAAACATAACATAACCACAAAAGTGTTACACAAACGTGCAATCACACAGGAACAACCACAATGGGGGATGCCAGCACTGTTTCCAACCTACCACTACTGTTCTGACTCGTCTGGAGTCAAACCAAATTTTGGCGCGCTTCAGCCACGATGGGGGATGTGCGCACTGTTGCCTTCACATCCTGGCACCACTGTTCCAACTCTTCTCTGTCAACTGGTCAACCTTCCCTCCTTGCCATGCCATGCCACCCTTCACTGTTCTAACCAAATTTTGGCGCTTCAGCCACGATGGGGGATGTGCGCACTCCTGCCTTCCCATCCTGGCACCACTGTTCCTACTACACTCTGTCAACCTGGTCAACCTTTCCCTCCCTGCCACCCTACACTGTTCTGACCAAATTTTGGCGCTTCTTGAGTGTCATCAACTTGTCATTCCTGCCAAGATGTTTCCAACCACGCGATTCGAGGAGATTGATTCCATCCAGCCCACGTTGTCCCTCGCAACTTCATATTCAGTAGCGTTGTGAGTTTCAGTCTCACAAGACCTGAAGACTTGACAACGAGCTCAACAGGAGAATCGTCCCGAGGCGTTTTCATCGTGCCTTTCAGGCTACACAAGAACGCGCGCGCGTGAAGACCAAAGAGGCGTTTTCGACTTGTGCGTTTCAGCGAATCACTGACGAGCTCGAGGAGTGCCTGCCGAGGAGTTTCCCTTGTGCCTTTCAGTCATTCAAGAACGAGCGCGCCTGAAGACCAACGAGGCGTTTTCAAGTTGTGTGTTTCAGGCGCACAAGATCAAGCTCGGGGAGTGTCTGCCGAGGAGTTTCCTTGTGCCTTTCAGTCATTCAAGAACGCGCGCGCGTGAAGACTAACGAGGCGTTTTCAAGTTGTGCGTTTCAGACACACAAGATCAAGCTCGAGGAGTTTCTGCCGAGGAGTTTCCCTTGTGCCTTTCAGTCATTCAAGAACGAGCGCTCGTGAAGACCAGAAGAGGCGCTTTCCACTTGTGCGTTTCAGGTTCACAAGAAGCCGCGGATGATTCTACCACTTCCCTATCTGCTCTTTACTTCTCCTCCCCCGCAGAGCACAGGAGGAGGAGCAACACGGTCAAAGGTAATAACGGTGAGCTCTATTCCTCCTTTGCTTTCAGTTTTTGCTATTGTTTCTGTCTTTGTTGAGTTCTTTGTTTTCTGTTTTTTTTTTTTACTAACAACCCCTTTGATTTCTTCCTCTGCGCTGCAGGATAAGCATGGAGCCGCGGCGGAAGCTATCACCCTGCCCTTCTCCTTTGTTTCTTCTCCTCCCCCCTTAGATCACGGGAGGAGGAGCATCACGGTCAGAACTACTCCGCTACTAAGGTAGTAACGGTGTGAGCTATCTTACTCCTTTGCTTTCAGTTTTCGTTGTTGTTCTTTTTTTTCTGTTTTTTTTTTTTTTTTATCTTCACTAACTTTTCCTTTGATTTCTTCCTTTGAGCTGCAGGTTTAGCATGGAGCCGCGGCGGGAGCTATCACCCTCCCCTTCTCCTTTGTTTCTTCTCCTCCCCCCTTAGATCACGGGAGGAGGAGCATCACGGCCAGATCTACTCCGCTAACACAGTAATAACAGTGAGCTCCCTTCCTCCTTTTGCTTTCATTTGTTTTGTTTCTGTCTTTGTTGTTCTTTTTTTTTTCCTGTTTTGTTTTTACTAACTTATCCTTTGGTTTCTTACTCTGCGGTGCAGGTTTAGCATGGAGCCGCGGCGGAAGCTATCACCCTCCCCTTCTCCTTTGTTTCTTCTCCTCCCCCCTTAGATCACAGGAGGAGGAGCATCACGGTCAGATCTACTCCGCTAATTATGAAGTAATGGTGAGCTCTCTTCTTCCTCTGATTTCAGTTTTTATGTTTTGTTTATGTCTTCTTTGTTCTTTTTTTTTTCCTGTTTTATTTTTACTAACTTTTCCTTTGGTTTCTTCCTCTGCGCTGCAGGTGTAGCATGGAGCCGCGGCGGAGGCTATCACCCCCCCTTTCTCCTCTGTTTCTTCTCCTCCCCCCTTAGATCATGGGAGGAGGAACACAGCCAGCGGACAAGGAGACTTCTTCGACCAGGAGGTGTAAGCTCTCTTCGTACTTATGTTTCTGTTTTAGTTTCTGCATTTTTTTCTGCTTGTTTCGTTTATTTGTTTTGCTTTGCTCTGCCTTGTTATGTTTTGCTTTGCTTTGTTTGTTCTATTCTTCTGCTGCGATCGTATCACCTTCTCCTTCTCTGTTTTTTCCACCCCAAGGTCACGCCGAAGAACAGCAGCTGCGGAGTTAGTGTGACGGGCGAGCCGAACGTTAGGCGAGTCAGATCCGGCGACGCACGAACGGCCGAACGTTAGATCCCGCGACCTGGCGACGTGCGAGCTGACAAGCGGACGTTAGATCCCGCGACCTGGCGACGTGCGAACGACGAACGTTAGACCCGCGACCTGGCGACGTGCGAACGACGAACGTTAGACCCGCGACCTGGCGACGTGCGAACGACGAACGTTAGACCCGCGACCTGGCGACGTGCGAACGACGAACGTTAGACCTGCGACCTGGCGACGTGCGAACGACGAACGTTAGACCCGCGAACGTATGGACCCTCAACCTGGCCCGACTTCTTCGGCTGCTCCTGAAGCAACAATCGGCTGGAGATTCTTCTTCCGGATGGCATCATCGACAACTTGAGGTGTCCTGCCGGATGGCAGTCTAACAATAACCGTTTGCCCTCTTTTTCCAACAGGGTCCCGGACGAATGGCCCCCACCTCAACGCGGTGTCCGGGTGTAACGCTAGGAGCTTGCTCCTAGCGGCCAAGAGGGGTCAAGAAGATGTCAGAAGACAAGCTGAGTGGAGTACTGACTACTTGAAGCTTAGGACTTCTACAAAGTTCAGTGGTTTAAATTGTCATGTATGCCATGCTATTATAAATGTGAGACTTGTAATCATTCTTATTATTCTCCTTGATTATTGTGGATTAGTTCAAACAAGTGAAAGCGTCACTCAATACCTCTGTACTGAACTCACTGAACGAATTCGTGTGACCTCTGCCATGGTGAAATGGACCTACACCTTGCGTGCTTGACTCACAGCTTCGAGTTTGCTTTTCCGACTTCGAAATCTTGCTTGCTGCACTGTCTCGTGCTCCAAGCGAAGAATGCCAGCCAGTCACGAACGATCATCCAGTTTTGTTGCGCGCCAAGCAAGCAACCTGTCAGTAGCGTACAGTATACGAGGCTTCGGGAGGATCCAGTGCGGTTCTTCTATGCTTCGGGAGGATCCAGTACAGTCAGTGATTCTCCCGCGCATTTTCAGAAGACCCGAAGTACGTCGTTCAATTCCATGCGAATTTTTCATTTCGCACGCTGTACCTTTGCGAAATATGTTCTGAAGAACATTACATCTCCGCGAATGTAACATTGTTCTGCATTGTACACGGTACTGATGTTCAGTATAGCGGTTACAAGCTCTATTGTCCATGTATAGCGGCTGCTATTGTTCTTGAATGCCACTCAAAGCTGGCGGTTTCAAGTTAGGAGTTTCACGTGAATTTCAACTCAATCTAGGATTGAAGTTCACGTGAATATCAAGGTAGCCTCGGAACCGCCAGCAGTAGTAGCCATAACGAGCGAAGGTGGGCATACTGTGAAGGACATAGACTATTCTTTAGGTCAGTCTTGCCGATTTGTCGACCTATACTCCCAGTCCGGCCACCGTGAGGACGATTATTAGACTCGTGTCACCGTTGCCATCTTGTTCATCTAGGGGCACCCACCGATTACATCGCGTGCAACGCTCCTGCAGGTACGGTTAGCTTGTAGAAACTTTGCCAGGTTTTTGCGACGTTACGTCGCAATGAGTCCCTGCCGTTCAGTGACTATTTATGTGAGCCGATAATTGATCTTTTGATAACCATTCTTACTCCTTTTGTTCTTGCTTTCGTTATAAACAGACGTATACGCAAAATGTCAGATTGCTGGAATGCGGGTGCAATAATCGCGACCGTCTTTCTTCCACCTCTGGGAACCTTCATGAAGAAAGAGTGCGGATACGAATTCTGGGTACGGAATAAAAATTTTCCTGTTTGCACGCTGACAGTTCCGGATGGACGTGTAGTAGCTTTTAGCTTTTGATGCGGGAGCCCACGTCGATAGGGTGGATTATCCTACTCTGTGATTCATGTGCAGATCTCTATTCTACTCACGCTCTGCTTTTGGATCCCTGGAATGATTTACTCTGCGTGGGTTGTTGCCCAACAGTGAGTTCTTTTTCTGTTTGCACGCTTCGTTATTCTTGTTAGGTCGAGATTGGGTGTCGACTTCTGCCTATCGGTAATTGTAAAATACCGTGTCTGTCTGCCTGTTCTGTTTTGTGCAGAATCCGAGTTGAGGCGATGGGACCTATGCCAGGTCACTGAAGTGCAATGTATCATTCTTAGGGCGTATTTCTGGTTCCGGTCACTTGCACTGTTCCGGGCATGCGTGAATTGCGGATGCCCCAAACAACATAGAACACCACTTTGGGTTCTCGGTACTCATGCGACCTCCAAATTGGCGCGAGGCTTTTTCGCGCCAAAAGTACGCCCCAAACAACAGTCGCATCCAATGGAGGGATGCCAGAACAGTTCGAAAGATCATTTGCTACACCCACGCAAAACCATGCGACACCCATCTAAAAACAAAACCGTCAAAAATGTCGGCATGAATCCCCAAATGTTGGGAGCACGACGCGGGAAATTCAAGACACATTCGGGGGTCACTGGGATCAATTTGCCGAGTGGTTGGGTGCAGAGGTATATAATACGGTACATTGCAAAATAGCATGACTCGACTGACGACGGCCAAAAAGATGGCAGTCTGACGTGAATCGTGCAACCAGGTGATTGGTTGGGGGAGGGTCGTGCACGTCAGTCGCCCAACACATGCACATTGACCCAAAGCTGGGGCCGCGCGCGGCTCGGCAGTCCACTTCGGGTCATGCGCATTTTACGCATGACCCAAACAGTTGAATGAACAGTGCAAGTGACCGGAACCAGAGATACGCCCTTAGTGTACATTCCCAACATGCTTTCTGGTGTGGGTGAAAACAAGTGTCAAAGTTTGTACCTTGACCCATCTTGTGTTTTTCCTCCGTGACCTCACATGGCACTGCCCCCGTACCGTAACTTCCTTACATGGTACTGACTAGATGACCTCACATGGTACTGCCTCCGTGACCTCACATGGTCCTACCTCCCATAACCTTCTCGGTCATGGCAGGATATGAGATCGTGCAGTAGGAGAAATGCCTGGTAACTGAAGTGAGTACCGTATGTACACACATCGAATTTCCATTGTACAAAAGCCTCCTTCCTTCAACTGACTAGACGTTTTTGTCCAAGATGAGTGGACTAAGCAGATGCTGCTGAAGGCAATAGTACCGTAAGCTAATTCATCAGTCAATACTCTGATGTCCACGCTGTCTAAGAACCTGCACCACTCTCCTTGTGTTCCTCCTCCGTCTTGGTAGTGGTGCCTGTGGCTGTGGGGACGGACGTTTCTGCAGATGGAGCCGTTCCTTTCTCATACGGCTGCACCAGTGACTGCAAACTTGATCCAAGTGCCTGCAGGAAAGAACCAAAGTCAGTTCAGCACCCGCAAAAAGAGTACGAACGGCATCAACTATCTTCAAACTTACCTTAGCAGCATCGGTTACAGCATCTCCAGCAGCAATAAGCACCTCAGCAGCACCAACAACCACAGTCTGAGTAACACCCTGAGTGGTCTTCACAGCTTCATGCACGTCTGCTGCTGCTGCCTTCACCCCCTCACCAGTCCCCTCCGCTACCTTCCCTTCAACATCATCACCCTTGCCTTCACCCTTCACGACTGAAAGTTTCTCCATCGCATGCTGAATGTCAGAATAGATCTTGGTGGCAGCTCCTTCCACTACATGCTCAGCTTCCAGAGCTTTTTCCTTCATCACCTCAGCCAACTGACCCAATCGCTTTGAAGACGCCTCTAGGACAGCAGCAGCCTCTTCCTTCCCTGTCACAACCACTCCTTTGCCTATGGCGGTCTCTCCCTCCTGAACCTCCTCCTGTCCCTTACCAAAGCTAGACTTGAGCATCTCTGCAGTCTCTCCCAGGGTCTCCTTCGCCCTTTCCGTCAGCTCCTCAGTCTTCTTAGTCACCGTCTCCGTCCCTGACGCGAGCCCTTCCTTGGCCTTCTCCGTCACCTGACGTCCCTTCTCCGCGGTTGCCTCGCCTGCCTTCTTGGTGGTCTCTGTCACCTGGCTACCCGCCTGCTGAGCCTCCTTCTTAGCCTCCTCACGCTTAGTTGAAGCAACTGCCTGATGCTCACCAGCTTTCCTCGCTGAAGCTACTGCCTTAGCCTGCTTAGCCCTCTCTTCCTCCGCGATTTTTCTCTCGCTTGCTTCTGCCGTGCTCTTTCGCTCAGTGGGCCTTTCCTCCGTGGTGGCCTTCTCCATGGTTCCCTTCACTCGCTCAGCCCATGACGCGCCCTCCTGCTGCTTCTGCTCTCTCTCAGCTTGTGCCTGTCCGCCACGGGACACCTGCGGCGCACAAAAAAACCAGTACTCAGAAAAGGAACCGACGCGACAGCGTAAATCAGATACAGAAGGCATGCCAATCCGGCGGTGACCTTACCTCGGGAACTTGCTGGCTCGCCATCTTGCCTCTTACTCGCCTGACTCTAACGCGCGATGCAGTACGGTGCGTAAGAAACGATTATTGAGAAGGAGCTGAAGCAAACCAAATACAACTCGCGACACGGAAAGTCGGGAGAACACCGCTATTTGTAGAACGTATAACGACGTTGCGTGCACAGCAAGGCCGTCCTGGATCGGCCAAATTATTCCCAGGGCAACCATCCTGTCGCTGCGATTCGGTCGCCTTGCGAAAAGACAGCTAGCTCCACATCCGTCCCCGCTTGGACGGGGACACGTGGCATCGATTGGACTGTGAAAGGCTCAAACATAGAGGCCGATCCAACGGCTGCCTTTTCCTGTCCAACTGCACAGACACGCATGCAAGGAACATGTTCACGCGGTCGGCGAGCCGACATGCAACAGCCATTTGGTCTGAAGGATTTCGGCTTGGCCTCTGCCCAATGACGGAGTATACTTGCCATTGCCGTGCCCTTGCCTTTTAGTTGGATGACCGACGGCAGTCCTCGAATCTCAGATGGAACCATGAATTTGCCGCATGGATAGCTCACATTGAATCTGCGACCTCCATGGCAGGACTCTGACATTAGCAGCTTCGTTAAACTTACTAGGCTTATCGCGTTGTGTTTCAAAAACTGTAGTTGGTGAAACGTGATGGTGCACCTTCTCTGTTGCGGTTTCAGGAGTCCCATTGGCGACTGTTGTGGTTTCAGGAGACCCATCAAACACGTGCGTTTCGCATTCAACCTGACCGTCGAATCTCTGATTCGTTACATCTGCCCTGAAACCAAGCCGCTCAACTGAGCACACTCCCCCCCCAACCACCACCACCTTGTGTTTGCTTCGCATCGCGTCGCACACTCGCCGGCTACCTGGCAACCAGTCCCAATCGCCTTGTTGGCGATTGCGCACATTGGCTCGGCGTAGCCAGCTCGGATCAAACCCAAATGGCGCATTTTGTATACCCAATCAGCGTCGTCCCGCTAACCTCACGTCCCACATCACCAAACTCTTTCTCAAAAAGCCCAACAACCGCCTTCCCGAAGCTATTTGCCAAGGATAACAGGCACGGGTCAACCACCGCTATCGAAACCCATACCGAACTAAACCCACTAAGAAACCATTTCAGCAAGCCTAAAACTCACTACATTTACAGCCCCTGAAACAGCCCCGCCAAACCAGGAGATCAGGCTCTTCCCGTGCCTCGGCGGTAATCCCGTCTCCGAGATTTCGGCCAATCATGAAGCGCAGGATGGTGGGGCAGTTCAGCATGTAAATTAGTTGCTCCTTGAGACCCAAATCTCATTTCTCTCAGCGCCAGATAACAGCACATTACAGACATTTTTGTTGTCACATTTTCAACAGCAACTGTGTAGAAGTTAGCACCACCAGCAACGAGGACCCATTGATTCCAGCTATCTCAGCGTCTATGGTTTCATCCCTAAATTGTTACCTTTTTGAACGCATTGGCGCGCCTGAGAGCTGCATCGCTTGATCCCGGAATTTTCACAAGGCGGCAGACAGATCCGCCATGGCTCCGTGGTATAAGGAGAACACGACCGTCAATTGCTTGGGGGTTACACTCAACCTCGGCGATCTCACCGCGCTGCCATTGGTCGTCGGATACGCGCTCTGCTCGAGTCTCCTCGCAATCATCAACAAATACGCCATCGATGTCTTTCCCTTCCCGAGCCTTCTAACGGCTCTCCAATACCTCACATGCGTCGTCGCGGTCTTCGGTTTGGGCCAAATGAAGGCTCTGGAGCACGACCAGATCCAATGGAGCATGGTCAAGAAATTCCTTCCCGCTGCTTTCGTCTTCTACATGGCAATTTTCACCAACACTACGCTTCTTAAATACGCCAACGTGGACACATTTATCGTGTTCCGGTCGTCTACTCCCCTTCTCGTCGCCGTCGCCGATTACCTCTTCAGGAAGCAGCCATGGCCGGGGCCATACACCTTCGGAGCTCTTTTCGTGATTCTCGCCGGCGCGGTCGGTTACGTGGTTACAGACAGCCAGTTCACCGTTCGCGCGTACACCTGGGCTTTCGCCTACCTCTTCACAATCACACTCGAAATGGTGTACATCAAGCATATCGTGAGCAGTCTCGGTCTGAACACCTGGGGTTTCGTCCTGTACAACAATTTCCTCTCCCTTCTCATGGCTCCTCTCTTCTGGATGATCACCGGCGAGTTTCAAGAGACAATGATTGCTACCACCGCTATGGCCGACTGGAAATTTGGCGTGGTTTTCCCCGTCCTGCTGTCCTGCGCGTTTGGACTCGCTATTAGCTTCTTCGGATTCGCCTGCAGAAAGGCGATTTCAGCAACTGCTTTCACTGTGCTCGGAGTGACCAACAAGCTTCTGACCGTTGTCATCAACGTGATGATCTGGGACAAGCACGCATCCTCGTTTGGAGTCATGTGCCTTCTCGTTACAATCATTGGAGGAGTGATGTACCAGCAATCTAACGTGAAGCAGAACTTCCGAACCGCTCCGGCTGCTACGGACGAGGAGGAGGCGAAACCCTTGACTCCTGCGAATGAAGTGGACGACGGCCAAGATGCTGGTGAGTCGCGTTGATCGCACAGTCCGTTATATTTTTCCTTCAACGACGTAGATAAGCAATCGGGCAGGAACAAAATTTTGAACGAATTTCTTAACTAACGGTCATAACATAGAAACCCTGCGTGAAAGGAAGGAGGCATATGAATGTATCATTTAGCGTCGCGTACACATAGATACTCCGAAATAGAATGGATACATTTTCCTCACGCCTTCTTGATTGATTTGTATTAGTATCGAAGATCCCGTTCTTCTCGACATTTTTTAGTATCCCGTCTCTAAGTTGACTTCGAATACTCGTATGTGGAGGCTGCGAAGCCATGGCAATGAAATAGATGCGGTCTTTGATCTCTAACTGGACCGTTCCGGTTTTTTGTGCCATATAATTGACCATCCAATGCCTCTGCCAGGTCATTCCGGTTCACGTATAAACCCTCACAGAACCCTGACCCTCCCCCTCCTTCCATACATGTGTTCGTTCTACTGATCTTCATGCTTATGCTCCTCTGTGCTCTTATCTTATGCCATTTTTATGTTGAGTGCCCCCTCGTCCTGCCTACTCCTCTCCCTTGTACCATTCACATCAATCTGAAATTCCTTCCTGGCTGTACCTGCCTCAGTCCTTCATTGCCCCTACCATATGCTGCTCGCCAAACATTCCACACAGTCTCCTGCGATCTATCTCTGTCTTCCCTTCCACCCAAATCCCTCACCTTCCCCCCCTTCCCGCAACCCCTCTCCACCACCATCCCCCTTCTCTTGCTCTCCCTCTCTTGCTTCCTCTCTTTCACCTCCCCTTCTGGGTGTTCCATTTTGCCCAATCCCCCATGGCTCCTCTTGGTGGCTGGTTTTATGTGTGTTGTTTGTTGACTAAATATTTAAATTTCCTCCCCCTGCTGTTCTCGTGTTCTTGTGTGCACAGAGCTCAAGCCCCTGAACGCCAAGTGAGCATGTCCAAGCGGTACGGTCTACGTAATCTGGCATTTCAGTGATTAGATACTGTATGTTCTTATTATCTTGTCTGAACTGTGGGATGCAGCTAACGTACCGTATGATGCATGACTGTCCCTAAACGTGGGATGGTTCACTGTACGGTAGTTATATTGAACATTAACACCAGGGCGCCTGACACACACACACCACAATGGTCAAGGTACCGTATGATGTTTACTGCCCATCAATGTCGAAGTCCTAGTGCGTACCTGGCAACACCAGGCGTTTCTTTCTGTAATCTAAGACTGAGAGGTGCTAGCTATTTGTACCAATTGTTTTGTTTCCGTATCATGCTCTTACGGTGTTGGGAGGGAGGGAGGCGAGCTCGACGCCGGCAGCAGAAAAATATGCCGCCATCAGAGATGGTGGGTTTTTTTGGGCCCATTGAGATTAGGTCCTAAGATTAGAACCACTCTGATAACATGTTGAAAGACTAAGTCAAGCTAGGACTTAGGTTTTAGGAAGGAGAGTATGATCGCTTGAGGAACGAGCACGAGAGTTGGCAAAAAGGTGAAGTTTGCATTAGAAACAATCGAAAGTTATACAAGCAAGGCAAGCATGCAAGGGGTGCACCACCAACATTAGGCTACACTACACTATGTTAATGCTAAGGGCAGTTATATAGAAACACTATGTTTCTTGACAGCTCATTGCTGCAGCGTGCAATCTAACATGCAATTCAAACCTGACAACTGAACATACAGTCCTTTCTAGGAAGCTTAAGATTATATATTTAAGGTACCCGTAAGTTCAGAAAAGCCTCACGCTGAGCTTAGTCTCGGCTGCCGTGTGCATCACAATCGGCGTTGAAAAAATGCATTTCCTAGTTGCACATCATAGTGCAAATCACTGTTGGCACACCAATGCCAGTAAGGATCATGTAAGGCGTCAAGGGTATTGTGCCAACTATTGATAGGCCAGGTTTACCGGTATATGGTGGCATGGAGTTTGTAACTTATGGACACCTGTCTCAAAGTTAGCGAACAACGGAATGTGTGAACTAGGGAAACAAGGGATACAAATAGCAACCCAAAAAGTGTTGTACTCCCTAGAGTGCTACTCACTGTAGCCTAAGAACCTATAATAACATTTGACACACCCCCATAGGCTAAGTGAGGGGCATCAAAGCAAGCAGGGTGAACAAACGGTCACAAGACCAGTCAATGCAAGAAGCAAAGCAAGCTCAGGGTGGATCTCAAGGACACCACACAAATTCCGAGCACAAGCAAGCGGCCACAAGGCCAGTTCAAGAGTTCACTAGGATATATATAGCAAAGCACAACAAGCAGAGCAAACAGCAAGTCTACAGCAACCGAGGGCCTACCTCAACAAGCCCCAACTGCACACAGAACCTGTGGTGGTCACCAAGTGTCAGGGCCTTGGTGAAGACGTCTGCAGTGTTGGCCTCTGAGGCCACAAAGTCCAGGCGTGCCTGGCCGCGTCGCTGTAGCTCTCGCAGAAGGAAGTACCTCACGTCAATATGCTTCACTCTGCTCTCCAGTCGAGGCTCTCGACACAGGAGGATCATGGCCTTGTTGTCAGCGTACAAGGTCGGTGCAGAGCGAGGCCGCTCACCAAGGTCGGCGAGCAAGAAGGTCAACCAGCGAAGCTCCTGTGCCGCCATGGCACCAGCGTATATCTCTGCCTCTGCACTGGAAGTAGCCACAGACGACGACCGTGTAGACCTCCACGACACAGCACCAGCACCCAAACTGAAGCAGTAACCCTGAGTCGAGCGCTGAGTCTCCACGTCGTCAGCGTAGGAAGAGTCGCAGTGACCAGTCAACGCCACTGGCTGAGTCCCTCCAAGCACAAGCCCCATGCCTGATGTAGTCGCCAGGTACTTCGCCACCCTCACAGCAGCTGTCCAGTGGACAGAACGGTGTCTCCCAGTCGCAACAAAGCAAGAGAGGACGCCGAGGGGAAAGGCGAGGTACGGCCGAGTACAAGTCATCAGGTACATGAGGCAGCCCACCAGCTTTGCGTAGGGACCACTGGACTCAAAAGGCTCGTCGGGAAAAGGGCCAGTGAGTCTGTGGTCAACAGCAAGAGGTGTGGGCTGTGTGGTGGAGAACTGGAAGTCGAACCGCCGAAGGACCTGCTGCACCATGTGTGACTGAGTCAGTGTGATGGTGCGAGCGGCTCTGTCCCTGGTGATCTGCAGGCCAAGGTAGCGCTGCAGTTCACCTAGCTCAGTGTACGTGTGTCTCTTCTGCAGTTCGGACTTCACCTGAGCTAGAGCTGCCTTGTCTGCTGTGGCAAAGACCAAGTCGTCGACGTACACTAGTATAAAGAAAGGAGTGGAACCAGTGCGAACAAACAGCGACGGGTCGGCAGAGGAAGGACAGAACCCAAGGTCACGAAGCGTGGAGCGAAGAGTGTCGTGCCACTCACGGGGCGACTGGCGGAGACCGTAGACTGGCCGTCTCAGGCTCCACTGGGTCCCAGGTGGGAAGGTGTCAGTGAAGCCAGGAGGGCGGCGCAGCCAGATCTCCTCGTGTAGTCGGCCCTGGAGAAACGCAGTAGAGAAGTCAAGGGAGTGCAGCTCGTAGTCTCGATGTGCTGCTACGTGCAGTAACACCCGAAGAGTAGTCATCTTCGGGGTCGGGGCGAAGGTCTGGAAGAAGTCAACTCCCTCACGCTGACTGAAACCCCTAGCCACGTAGCGCGCCTTGAACACAGGCGGTGATCCAGGCGGCCGCTTCACCTTGAAGAGCCACATGCCATCGACTACGTTCGCCCTGGGAGGGGGAACTGCGTCGACGTACGTGCCTGTAGATCTCCAAGACGCTAACTCCGAGGCCATAGCCGCTTTCCACTGTGAGGCCCACGCCCCTGACATTGCCTCGCGGTAAGTGCGAGGAGTCGGTATGTCAAGGGCGTCGGGGTCTCCCTCAGGGGATAGCAGCATGGCACAGACAGAGGGGGAAGCGGCTGCCCAGTACTCCAGCTCAGACTCTCTGTCCTCTAGGACATCACAGCCAAGGGCAAACCCACCCCCGACGGACAGAGGACGGGAGGGAGGAGCTGGCACCACACGGGTGGTGTAGTCAAGGCGACTGGCGGCAGCAAACTCAGCGACAGCGGCAGTGAGAGCCGAGACAGACGACAAAGGGAAACGAGAGTCGGTGACAAGAGTGGCGAGGACACGAGAGACAACAGGACGAACAGCGCGGTAGTAGTCAGTGACAGGAGTAGGGGGGAAAGGGAGAGAGGACGGAGGCGGAGACGGGAGAACGGACTCAGGAGGAGGACGACGAAGAGACGAACAAAGGAGGGCAGTGCGGAGGTCGGTAACGGGAGACGAGTGACGAGCACGCGGAGGACAGGGACGGACACGTGAGTGTGGGACAACAGGTGGAGGAGACTGCGGTGGAGGAGAAGACCAGACCGCCGGACTGTCGTCAGGAGGAGGAAACGTGGGACCAAACGCTGGAGGGGACGGAGTGTGAACAGGAGGAGAGGAGGGAAGACCAAGGGCCCGAAGGCCACTCACGGGTGGGAACAACTGCCGCTCCAGAGGGAGCTGCTGTGGTCGAAGCTGCGGCGGCGGTGTCTGCTGCTGCTGCGGCTGCTGCTGCTGCTGCTGCGGCTGCTGCTGCTGCTGCTGCTGCTGCTGCTGCTGCTGCTGCTGCTGCTCCAGCAGGTCCAACTGCCGCAACTCCTGCCGCTCCCTCTCCAACAGCACCTGCTCCTCACGCTCACGCCGACGGGCCGCCTGGAGACGTGTGTCGTGGCGGTGGGGAGGCGGAGTGGACTCCGCAGAACCAGTGCCTCCAGCTCCAGTCTCCTCAAAACCAGCACCTCCAGTGCCAGCGCCTCCAGCACCAGCACCCCCTGAACCAGCACCCCCAGGACCAGCACCTCCAGCTCCATCACCCCCAGAACTAGTACCGCCAGTGCCAGGACCTCCAACTCCAGCACCCCCAGAACTAGCACCTCCAGTGCCAGCACCTCCAGCTCCAGCACCCCCAGAGCTAGCGCCACCTGCGCCAGCACCTCCAGCTCCAGCACCCCCAGGACTAGCACCTCCAGTGCCAGGACCTCCAGCTCCAGCACCCCCAGGGCTAGCGCCACCTGCGCCAGCACCTCCAACTCCAGCACCCCTCAAACGAGCACCCCCGGACCGAGTACCGCCAGTGGCTGCACCTCCAGCTCCAAAACCAACTGAGTCCACAATAGCCTGTCGCGGAAGTACCGAAGGCTGCTGAGGGGACTGTGAGGAGGACTGCGGGGAGGGAGCCGCTACCTGACGCGCGACCGAGGGTAGAGGGGTAGCGTGAGACACACCTGACGGGGCAGGACCAGGGGGGGGTGGGGGTACCGGAGGAGCGGGAGCAGGGGGGAAGAGAGGGTGCGAGGAAAAGGGGGGGAAGGGGAACCGGGAGACCTCGACAGGGGTACCGGGTGTAGTAGGACACTGACTCGCCGAGAGCTTGTCCGCAGAGGTGTCGCGGACAAGCGCAAGGCAGCCCCAGACACGAAAAGCTGACCCAACACCAGGGGACCCGGTCCAAAGACTGGTCGGTGAAGCCTCTGGCCGCGAGACGCGCGGCTGGAGGTTCAGCTGGTGAGCGGCGTAGCGAACCGCGTAGGGCCACAGAAAATGGGGCGCACGGGCATGAATCATGGACGTGCGGGCGATGTCCATGACCAAGCCAATGCGGCGCTCAGCAACCCGATTCTGCTGTGGGGACTCTGGCAGCGTCCAGGACTGTACGATGCCCTGCTCGCCGCAGAATCCGGCAAGAATGCCTGAGCGAAACTCACCCCCACGGTCAGAGTGGAGACAGGAGACACGACGGCCACGAGTGCCCTCAGTGGCTAGAAGCCACCGGATCAGCGTAGAAGTCACCTCGGACTTCTTCGCGAGAGGAAACACCGTGGTGTACCTGGAGAAGTCGTCGACGACCACCAGAAAGTAGCGCTCCCTCTCAGGTCCCTGCGTAGGTGCA